CTATTTGATATGTTTCATGCTGATGAATATACATATACTACTGATAAATCTTATCAGTAGCACATGGCAAACTAGTCCCCAAACCAAATAGTTTTGAACGAAGCCGTTCACACCTTCGTTCTACCCCTCCCTGTTGTATCTTGGTCCCGGCTTCCTTATCCCACTGAATCAATTTCTGCAGTTAGCCGACGTTAACCCGTTTCTGTTTGTTTCCTCTTTTGATGGTGAACACGGTACCACATCACTAAGTGACAGTGTATACGTCTTATCACTTCGTGAGGAGTAGTTTCCGTGAACATCACTAACAGCTACTCACGTCCTTTCTTTCTCCACACTTAATACTTGACCGCCGACCTCAAATGTTGTGCATCCTATCTTCTCTGCCTGTTTAGATGTTGTAGTGTCTTTCTCCTACTTAACGCTTCACATTCCTGACGGCTTCTTTCCGTTCCGTTCGCAGTCTCGTTATATTCTACTCTTGGTGGAGGGGCCAGGTTGTGTTGTGTATCGGTAATCATGGTTTCCCCCAATTCACCAACTGAAAGGGTGGCTTTTTTGTCGTTTCCTGGGAGGACGAACGATATGCTAGTAGAATCAATGGAAGCTCTGTCTTCCAGTCACCTCTCTTCGAGGCCAGACACTCCTTCAGTGTACGGTTATTCCTCTGTGCCAGACTCTTCGTTTGTGAATGATATGGTGTTGTTCTGATCTTCTTGCTGCCCAGCTATTGCAGACGGAAATTGAATTCTTCATTTTGAAAACAAGCCCTGATCTGTAAACATTGTATTTGGTACACTGTGGTCTGCAGCGATGTTTCGAACTAATGCGTCAGTAACAGTTCTCGCACGTTGATCAGGGATCACGACGGCGTCCACTCACCGAGTAGCGTTTTCCGTTTCACCAAGAGGTATTGATTACCAGTGGATGTCTGTGGAAACTGACCTATCATATCTACTGCAGTAACGAGAATTGACCAGAGGCGGTCGTATGCACCGATCCTTTCATCAACTGGCACTGCGGACAAGGAAATAAATATTTTGCAACATATTCTCTCTCATACCTGGCAAGTACATGCTCTGTTTCAAGAGGTCGATTGTTCTGGTCACCCTGTATATGCTAGCTGATGACATTCTTGTATCATCTCAGTTTCCATCGGCCCTTTCGCCAAGTCAGAGTTCCGTAGGAGTCCAATCTTAGTCAATCCTTCTATCTGAGTTGCGTGGGCAGCCCCTCACAGTCGTAGGTTTATTCATCTTTATTCCGTTAGTCATCACCTGTATGACTGTATTCGGGGTAGGCCTGATTTCTGACTGCGTGCAAGTCTTAATGGGTCCTGTTCCAACGTGGGCACTCCGTAAACAATCTCCGGTGACTCACTTCGTCTTCGAATCCAGATAAAAGTCTGCCAAAAACGTTTCTTTACTAGGGACGTGTGAGATCGTTAAGTCATACTTCTGCTACACAATATCCACTACGAAAATTTCCCACGTGGGTCTCTCGCTGTCCTCAGAAACTATAGCGGGTTGTGATCAGTTTCGACGAGGAACCGTCGGCTGAGTAAATACGGTCTCCATTTTTCTACCGCTCCTACTTTTGCCAAACATTCTTTTTCTATCGTTGAATACTTTTGTTCTGTATGTGTTAAGACACGACTGGTGTATTCAACAGTTCCTTCACTCTATGTAAATACTGTGTCTATGGCGTAGTCACTCACATCTGTGCATACTATGAACTTTTTTGCGAGTGCAGGCTGTTTTAGCGTCATTTTTCGATTGTCCGAAAGCCGTTTCATACTACCGAATATCTTCTGCGAATCTTCCGACCAAACAAACTTCGACTCACTCAATAGTCTGTACAGGAGGCTGCTATCTCGTTGAAGTTTTCCACAAATGGACTATAAAACGCTGCTCTCCCCAAGAATTATCTCAGCTTCCTCTTGGAATTCGGAGCCGTGATAATCTTTATCGACAAGAGTTTCTCCGGTATCGGTTTTATCTAACCGTCGCCTACTTTATGACCCAACAGTGTAACATTCATTTGGCTGTCTCAGATTTGGTTGGTTGATACGCAGTTCAAACTCTTCGATGCATTTTAACACGGCTTCCACATGATTCACATAGTCTCTTTCGTTTTGACTGTAGATGATGAGATCGTCACCGTACACTTCCGCATTCCTCAAGTTTCTAAGTAACAACGTCATTAGTCGTTCGAAGTTAACGGCGCACCTGCTAGTCCAAATGACATGCGTTTAAACCGATATTGTTTCTGGCCCCCGATGAACGTCGTCTTGTCTCTGTCACTCTATTTTATCGGTATCTGCCAATATCCTGACGAGCACTGTAAAAAAATTTGCGATATGTAGACGATCCAAGGTCTCTACCGTAGTTGCCATGACACACGGCCTCAGTTCTGTTATGCTGTTTACCTGTCGGAAATCAACACAGACTTCCCATCTATTTTTTCACCAAAGAACTGGAGAATTATACGAGCTGTCTCCTTCTTCAGTATATCATCCTGGAACATCTCCTTCACTTGTCATATTCTTTTACTGCACTCTTTTCGACACCTAACCACTTCTGTCTCACATGTCTCATAGATGCTGATAGGTCTGTACTTCGCAATTACTCCCTTCCCCTTCGTGTTAATTATTGTACTGCTCTCTCGCAGAAAATCAGTGCCAAGTATTGTTCTCCGTAACTCGGGCACAACGTTACTTCGCGATCGCTAATAAAACTCCCAGGTTTTCCAGTGGTTCTCTAACTGATGTCAGCTCATGATGAAATCCTGAAAACTGCTACAGTTTGACATGCCGGTGATGCTAAATACGTGTCCACCTATCGTCTGAACAGTCAATGAACACGGGGTCTGACGTTCTCACAGAGACTCTTATCTATTAGTGAGACTGCTGCCTCAGTATCTATTTAACATACTATTGCTAAGCCATTAACTCGCAAATTAGAATAAATGCACCCTTTTCGATAGCCCCTGTTACTTCTTGTCTGATAGAAGAGAAAGAACACATATTATACTGTCTGGAATTGTTCCTTTTCCTTTTTCCTGGACATTGCCTCATCTAGTGCCCTGATTTGCCACATTCAAAACATCGATCTTTCCCTGGCACTCATTTGTTGTCCTGCTACTTCACACTGCAAATCTTCCACTTTCTCTTTCCATTTGTTCAATTTCGGTGGCTGTATTGCTGCTACTGTTGTGCTAGACAGCTTTCTGTTCACCTTTTCCAGCTCACCGATGTGCATGGACTGTGCAGCGTTAACCGGTTGTAGTTGCTGAGATATGTGGTCTGCGACACTGTCAATGAACAGCGACGCCGATAACTGCGACTTCAACTCTTCGTTCAACGTGGGGAATGCACGACGTAGTAGATTCGCCAGCTTGGCCACCAACACTGACAGGTCTTTGTCCAGTCCCAGCTTTGCAGTACGGAGCTGCTGCATCGTTAGCTGACTGTTCATCCAACTGTCGAAATTCCCCACCAATCATTCAACCAACACCTTCCAGGTCTCTTTCTCTCCTGACCACTCCACACTGTTGTGTTGGCTTTGCTCGACCTCTCAGTAGCGTCCCCGGCACAATCGCCTTCGCTGCCGGACCATTGAAACTCATTAATTTAGCGGCGGCCATACCAGGCAGTGGACTGGAACCCCCTGAATAGGAAACGTCAAGTTGGGCTTGGCTTCGAGGGTGACATGGGATGGAGATGAGAGCTGATGGGTAATCGCGAAGCTAGTTAAAGATGACTAAAGAAAACATGATGAAATGAATGAAGTGAAAGCCTTATGCTCCACTTAGAACCGACAGAAACAATAGTAATAATAAAAATAATAATTAAAATTACTGTCAAAACTTTAAACAAACAATCGCCTACCTCTAGAATTGTTAGAAGGAGAAGCAGGAGGAGGCCATACTGGAACATGACCAATAGAAATATTAGTTTCCATGTCAAATGGTGCATTGTGATTATTGAATCTTTGTCTAGTATTACTCGATCCAGCTGAAAAACTACGTGCAGTAGGTGAACGCCAGTCTGTAAATCTTGATGTAGAAGGCGGCTCCATTTGTCCTGATGCTGTAGCCTCAATATCTGCCCATTGAAAGAAATTACAACCCGATGACGGTTGACCATTATCACCACCACCAGGTCGACTATTTGGACATGTGTAAAATTGACGACCTTTATTTTGAGATTGTTTAGTTACAACCAGCCTAGTTAAAAATGCCAAAAAAAAAATAAAGATCATTACTGTTAGAAAGCATTGAAAATTTGAAAAATAATACACACAAAAGGTTTGCGTTGTCAATCTAGCACAGGTGTCACTGATGTGGTATTTTGGTTGGCAGGAAACTTACACAACACCTGTTGCCTGACTGACGGAATTTTAACACAGGAGACTTTGCACAAAAGTGTACTAGTTCCAGCTGCCACACTCCATGAAGCAGGCAAAGGTAGAGAAAAGACAAATTCAAAAGAACTTTAATGAGCAAGAATCTACAGGAGAAAGCATAGTAGTAACATGGAAAAACATGAGGGTTTAATGGTTCTGGAAGGTTACAGAAATTGAATGCATCAGAGGCACTGAGAATGATTTTAATACATGTTACCAAATATCAAGCACCCAGAAGACTTTACACACCTACCTACATGGATAGCTCAGGCTAATTGTCAATAGTTTCTTGGATATCACGTTTTGATTAAACCAAACACCCACCCATCCTCAACTCTTTTTTAACCTGAGCTTATTTCAGCAAACATTGCTAGTTGAGGGAGGCGCGTTGACTCAGCATGATGAGCAACACAACAACTATTCAGTAGAATTCAATACTCCCATATAAAATATCGTTTCCAAGATTAGTATTCACTGACAAGTGATTGAATTGTGTTTGGAATGATTTGTTAACAGGTCAATACTTCTAATGATTTCAGGCCTACTTATAGCATATATGATGATTAACCAGGCCCAGAATCCAAATGGGAAGGGACGAGTGGGTCGTCAGTGCGAGGGCGATATGAACGAGATAGTGTGTTGAGGAGGAAGAAGAGATGAGAGATTACGGGGAACTATGAGCCCAGCCAGCTGAAGACGACAACAGAGAATAAAAGAAAGTGGACATGTTTTGTTGAAGTAATCTGGGAAACTAAGGGAATAAATAAATAAAAATAATAATAATAGACCATTTAGTAGGAGATACAGAATCCTGCTGTTGTATGGTAGGACAAAAATCAGGCCTACATTCACAAATATGATTTATCCATACACAATACATGAAGTTTGTAGCTTTAAAGCCAAAAATGACACCACTAGAAGGAGTCCGGAGCTCAGTCCGATTAATACACATTTAGTAAAATAGATATTGTTATATACATGCTAGCATGATTAAAATCCACAGCTTCAAATCATTGGACATTGTTTAACAAAAGTTATACCCTGTTTATACATCTGTAATTTACTTATGAAAATCTGGATTGTAGCAGAATATAAACCAAGTCGCCTCCAAATTACAAGTTTGGTGGTTTACCAGCTAACCTACACAACCCAATGGCTGGCCAGGTAGGGCGATGAATTAGTTAGTCAGAAGCTATTGATTTAAAATTCTGAGGTGACCACCGCCTTCAGTTATTAATCCTTGCCTGAATAAATGTCTGTAAACTATCACTTATGACTACCTGAGATAATCTTACTATTAAGTAAGATGTATTGAAAATTTCACCTGAAACGTATTCATCACAGTACACTCTCTTATACTCTTTCGAATTTACAATTTAATACAGAAACTATTAAAGGAATTCATGCCACTTCTGAGACTCGAACTGGCGTCACACAGTGCAGACTGTAGTCACAGATGTAACTACTGAGCTATTCAAGGCTCGCAATTGACCCCCCTCCTGTAGGATTCCATTGGATATTTTTTATTAGACACGTGTCAGTAACACTATTGAATTCTATCAGTGCCAACTAGCCCAATTTTAAGTCCAAGGCTTCCTGTGGCCGATTGCCTCCAACTATCTAATACCAACAATTCATAGTGCACCGTGATGGTGGCCCCACTGCAAACTCGAGTGATAGAATTTAGTCTGCACCAAAGATAGAACTAGACACACACACTAGTTACTGACTAGTGTTCAATCAAAAAGGGATGTTTGTTCTAAAATTTGGTACCTCTAAACAGCTAAATTTTGTACACCTTATCTTCAAATCACCATTTGCACAGATCTTCCGTGTTGTGCTGCTTCCCCTGCCCTCCCTTCATATTGTGTGTATGTTATTTTGTCATCATTTCACATTCCCAATGTATCTCCACAACGCTGAATCATATGTTTTCTCTAACAGACATTAAATCTATCTCCCTGCGATTTCATGTGTTTTATGCCGATGAACATCCCCCTTATACACACTACAGCTAATAGATTACAGTTCAAAAATGCATGTGTAAGTGATAGATAATACACATAATAAAATATTTAATCATACTAAATTGAATATCAAATAAAATCAGGGGAGAACATTTCTGCCACAATTGAAAGTAGTTAAAACCATAATAATTGTTTTGTAAAAGGCTTAAGAAGGAGAAGAGGTGAAATTCTCTTTTTACCTTCAAGTAAAGATGATCAAGGTTGGGGAAAGCGTTTGAATGCACTTCTACTCAACAGATAAGTTAAACTTCTTCAAGTAGATTCTGATGACTTCAGTTATGTGTGTAAAGACATTTACACTGGACGTGTTCATCATAGAATTTCTGAACATCACCCGGGATGGTTAAGCAAGGTTTATTCGTAGCAGTTTCTTAAAGTCAATATTAACAATATCTAGCGTATTTCGACTAATCTTAATTTGCTCCTTTATCAGTTCGTCTTCTATATACGGTTGTAGTCAACGGAATCCACCTGAAGTAGCCTAACTTATGGTGTTGAGGAGGAGATGGTCCAGACGTTTCATTTATCTTGACCATAATTGTTATTGTTTTCTTATTCCTTAACGTTCCCAGTGGAACATAGGGGTTCTAACTAGAGGCAGGAATTTTCTGTAGCAGTGGTGTTTGTTTTTGCCCAACCCTCCACTTAACGAGTTTTATTACTGACTTAACCAGGAAAAGGAGTGCGTCGGCCGAGGATCAAACCCCGGACCGAATGCGTGGTTGGCAAGCATTCTACCTTTGTGCCACCGAAGCATCATCATTGTTATAGCCACCCTTAATTGTCGCAATAATCTGCTTATCTAATATTCAATTTAGTAGTATAACATTTTTATGCAGACCATCAGTTACACATGCTTTTGAACTATAATTCCGACGATCATAACAACTCGATAGTATGTAACCAGAAAAAAAAGACACCAATGTGGTCAATACCAATTATTCTTTAAATATTATGTGTTATATATACACATAACACAACAAAGAAGTCACCCTTTCAGTCGATGAATTGGAGGAAACCACGACTACAGATACACAATACAACCTGACCCCTCCACCAAGAGTAGAATATAACAAGGCTGCGAACGGAACGGAAAGAAGCCGTCAGGAATGTGAAGCGTTAAGTAGGAGAAAGACATTACAGCATCTAAACAGGGAAAGAAGATAGGATGCACAACCTTTGAGGTCGGTGGTCAAGTATAAAGTGAAGAGAAAGAAAGGACGTGAGTAGCTGTTAGTGATGTTTACGGAAACTACTCCTCACGAAGTGATAAGACGTATACACTGTCACTTAGTGATGTGGTACCGTGTTCACCATCAAAAGAGGAAACAAACAGAAACGGGTTAACGTCGGCTAACTGCAGAAATTGGTTCGGTGGGATAAGGAAGCCGGGGCAAAGGTACAACAGGAAAGGGTAGAACGAAGGTGTGAACGGCTTCGTTCAAAACTATTTGGTTGGGGGACTAGTGTGTCGTGTGCTACTGATAAGATTTATCAGTAGTATGTGTAGAAAAAGGATATTCATCAGCGTAAAACACATCAAATAGCGGGGAGATAGATTCGATGTCAGTCAGAGAAAGCAAATGATATAGAGTTGTGGAGATGCATGAGCGACGTGAAAGGAAGACAAAGCAACACGCACAATACGAAGGGAGCGCAGCGGAGTAGCCCAACACGGAAGATCTGTGTAAATAGTGCTTCGAAGATAAGGTGTAGATAATGTCGCTATACAGAGATTGCAAATAAGCGTTCCTTTAACAAGCGATTCGTCTTCTCCCTCTTGCAGAAACAGGCAAGTAATTGATCAACAAGAAGAATACAGTCATTTGTTCAATCCTTCAGTCTCATATTTACTAATGTAAGGAAGGATGTAATGAAGATAATACTTCGTAATACTAAATTGTAATTTCATAAAACGTGAACTGTAATAGCATAGTTGAAAAGCATCAACAGTTGTTCTCACTTTGCAAACAGTATCAGGTTTCAATTTATCTCAAGTATACTTTGAATAGAGGTGTTGAAGTGTTATGTACTGGTCGAGAAATTAATAGTCCTGACGCAAGAAAGACGGACCACTAGGTTTGCGATGATACTTCTATTTTCCAAAACATCAGGAGAATCAATGTCACACAAGAGTGTGAGAGCAAAATATATGAATGTCCGAACAAGTGTGTGAGCGAATATTCAAAATGAACAAATCAATATACAGTCTTAACATGATTGGCTAATTATAATGGAATATCGATCCATATATACATAGCAAAATATATCAGACTGTCAAACAAACACACAATTTATATGGATACACATCATGAAGACAAAAGTCTAGAATATAGGAATAGAAATGGACCACTCTGGCGGTGCAATAAAATTCCATTGTGGATGAAATTCATTTTGATAAAGTCTCACAGTAATATACTGTAATATTTACTCATAACAACGTTTTGAACAGAACACTGACACAACTTTCTAATTTCCTCTATATGCTTCCACTATTTCTCATCGCTTGATTTGATTGGTACTAGTATTGTCAATATTTCTGGTATGAGTGATAAGTCATTCCTATTACATGTGTTGGGTGTAGACTCTACGATCAAAGATCAACCTCTTTCTCTCTCTCTCTCTCCACCTACCTATATTATTTGCTAGAATTTTAACCATCTCCCACCCAACTTATTGTGTGGTTGTGTGTTAATGCACGCAGTGCAATTACTGAGTTTTTCTCTATATTACTCATCTTTACGGGGTCGTACATTCTGACCTTAGCCACTAAATTCTTATGTTCCGACAATCTAAATACTCCTGACCTACTAGTTTGACCTATGTAGTTGACCTCACTCACATTCATTGCAGAATATTTTGTAAATTATATTATTTTGTCTAATTGGGTCAACCGACGGGTTCCTTCAACCTACAGAGTTTGTCCTGTCTGAGTGAGTTTGTAGGTTTAAATGCCACTCTAATTCTTGCTTTATTAAAAGTCCTACGTAGGGGCGGGTGTGAGATTTCCCCTCCTCATATGGTAAAACTATTTTTATTTTATATTTTCACAATTTATTTCACAATTTTTTGTATTTCGCTTTTGACTTTTTCTGATCTTCTGAATGAATTTTATAGGATACTTAGTTATTTAACACAAACGCTTTTTCTTCTTCTATCTGTTTCATTTCATCATAATTCAGGTCTTTTTATTCAAAGTGTTAGCACTAAGTACTACAAAAAAGACCCAAATGAAATCTGCACTTATTGAATGGAGGAATATGTCTTACTTTGAATATACAGCACACTTGTTTATAATTATTGACTGTTTTTAGATGGTTTCGAGACAATCAGCAGGAAGGTATATGTGAAATCTTGTAGGAACTAATGCTCTTTCTGAGGCTTGAACCAAGGTCAACCTGTGGTGTGCCACACTACCACAGATGTGACCACTGAGTAATTCGAGCTTGTCACTGACCTCCTTCAAGATTGTAGATACTGCCTTGCTGACAAGTACGAACAAGTACTAAATCCAGATTCGAAGCTTCATACTAATTGCCTCTAACCATCTAGCAACAATTTAGAGTGCACCATGATGACAACGACAACAACAACAAGCACCAATCACTGTCAACCGAAGAAATTTCATCAAGGTCACCTCTCTCACTTGTCTAGGCAGCATCTTTTCAACCACAGGAGACAGCACAAACGCCGATGTAAAAATCAGAATCGGAAAGGCAAGGCAGACCTTCATTACTCTCAAATCAGTTTGAAGAACTTATGCACTCCTCAACATAAACTATAAAATTCGAATTTTCAACGCCAATGTCAAGTCAGTCAGTTCTTCTGTTACATGGGTCAGTAACATGGCTCTGGCGTCACGAAAAGTATTTCCGACAGGTTACTGAAGACTTACATCAACACCGACCTTCCCCAGTTCCGTACTAAAGATCAAATGACCAGAGTGAATTAGCAACAAGAAACTCTGAGAACGAAACAGTCAAAAAGCCTATTGCTTAACGAGTATTATGAAGAAGATGACGATGGATCGGACACAGGCTGAGTAGACTGTCGGATAATATCGCATGCCAGGGGATCGCACAGAGGAGAACTTGAATGATAAAAGATGACGGTTGCGTGTGGGTTCGAAGGTAACATATATAAGAGATCTGAGACGCAGAGATGGAAATTTATGGGCATTCGTGGGGCCAGTTGGAGGTGATTCTGCCTCTAGCCATCAAGCATTAGATTGAAAATACTTGACGTACAACCAGCAGATCAGGGGTTGAAATCCCGTTCCGTCTACATCACTTTAAACAACTGAGTGGTATATCATTAGCCCTCATACTAATAGTCTGGAACAGGAGGAGTCTGTTTCCGATAAATGAGTTTCAACACTAAAAACACTTCACACAATCAGTAGTCTAGATCGAAAACAGCTCAAAGTATAGTTAATATGGTTGCAAAAATAAATTTTAAAAGTGAAGCAAGCATAATGCATTGGTACTTACAGTTTTGCAGGTTCTCCACATCGACAAACAACACCAGATGAAGTTGACTCGGAAGTACCAAGACCAGAGGTTACTAATCTATCATTGGTCAAATTTACACTACTGAAAGTGTTCGTTGGACGAGACCATATATCTGTATCATTATTTCTTTGTGGTCTATGCAAGGAAAGAGATAGAAAAGGAAAAAAATTGATGAAATTTATTTCAGTAAAACTTGCGATTTACAATTTACAGAGGGTCATAGGTGAAATTTGTCCACAGTTTCATTTCTAAAATAAAAAACTAAAATTATTCGTAAATTTATTTTCCCTAATGAATTATTCAGATTACAGAAATATGTGTGATCTGCTAGATATTATGACCAAGTTAAACTTTAGGCACCAGTAACCGAACCATTGAACTTAAATGGTCCAACGAGTTTCATTCATGAGAGTTGAAGCTTCTATTCCGCTTGATCTCAAGTCAAATGCCTGTAGTAACACAGTTGCGTTTGCAATTTATTATATTATTATTATTGTTTCCTTTAGTTCCTAGAGGAACATAGAGCTTCAGTCGCACGTCTCCATTGCATTCAGTTCTCTGCCAACGTTTTCACTTGACTCCACGTTTGCCCACATGCTTTCACCTCCTCTTCACCTTTGGACGACCAACTCGGTGCTTGCCATTCGGTTTCCACTCGAGGAAGTGTGTGTGTGTGGAGTGTGATGTCATTTACTTGAGGCTTTCTCAGAGTATGACCAATCCACCTCCATTTCTACCTACTCAATTGTTGCACAATTGGTTCCTGGTTGGTTCCCTCCCAGAGATCTCTGTTGTTGATCTTTTCTGGCCATATGATCTTGAGTAGTGTTAAGTGAAGATAACTGTTAATGAAGGTCTGTAGTTTGTTTGAGGTGCTCTTCATGACGCAACAAGAGTGTTTGCGATTCGGTGAGGATCAAGTGTCTTCCAGTATTGCTTATATGTGGGGTTGATTAGGTGGTGTAATAATGACCATAAAAGCTTCAGCAGGTCTCTTGATGGAGATGTGCATCGTTGTGCTATTTGTTTTAGACGAGTTAGTGTCAGGGAAGGTAAGCTGATGATTCTAATACTTCGTAGGAACATTTTTTGCCAGGTCCCATCTGTTTTTAACCCAGGTTTTGTATATTTGTAATTATTGCGTTTTAGAGCAGCTTGTGAGAGGTGCAGCTGCTAAAACTGAAAATAGCCTCATATCTACAGTTCAGTGGTACAAGCACTGCAGGGTTATCACGTCCTTGAAAATGGAGAGGCTTATTCCCTTATTGGAAGGAGAAGGTGTCGTCGTGCATGCAGATGAAACTGTCTTATTAAAGCAAAAAATAACCCTAGTTCAGTTTGCAAAGGAAACCGGTAAAATTTCACCTTCTCGAACTGCGTAAACTGTAAATCGCGAATTGCCTTGCATATTGCAAATTTCATTCAGTTCGCCAAAATAGTCACAGCCAGAATTCGGGTTCTACGAAGTGATTCGACTGAATGAGATGAGTCAATCAGACTGGGTAGTACATCGTTGATGACGTCAGCTCAAATATGAATGAAACAAATCATTTATATATATATATATATATATATATATATATATATATATATATATATGCAGTATATAGCATCATAAATTTATCCAAATCAATAACGATAGTAATTCCATATTCATTGGTTTATTAGATATATCACACAGTGAAACAGTTTTATTTACTGGATGACTTTTCGAAAAAAGGTGGCATTCAACCCACCTCAACAAACTCAATTAGAAACAAGCTTTGTCGGTTAAAGGATGAATTCTATGGAGCTAATTGAACAAAACAATTTAGTTTATCTAATACCCTGCTTGAATGGTTGCCAGGTCAAATACATAGGTCAAAGTAGTAGGACTGGGTGAGTCGGTCAGACTAGCGGAGCACAAAAGCCTAGCAGCAAAAACCAAGATTAACTGATTCGAATAAGATGAGAAATCTGGAGAATAGTTCAGCTATAGCACTCGATACATGCAATTACACAAAACCAAACAACAGGGTGGGATAGGATGACAGTTTTAACATCAAATTAAAACAGGGTGGAGGGAGAGATTGATGACAACAGAAGCTTTATTTATTAAATCAACTGAAGAGTATGTGTAATATGAATGATTCAACACCTGTCCATTCGGACATATGAGAAATTCTACTACCCCTACGACGACAAATAGGAAAGAATAAAGAGAAGTATAAAGCGAAAGTTTCAACGTTGTGTGGTTAAAACTGGAGATATGATTATGAACAATAAATAAATTGTGTTCGAAACTTTGTCATCCAGTTAATAATACTATTTCACCATGTGATACATCTAATAAGCAAAAAATAATGTAGAATTTTATTGGCTTTGTGGGGATTTTTTCACTGGTTGAAGGATTTCATCATGAGCTAACATCAGTTAGGTCGTGGGTTCGAATCCTTGTGGGTGCGTGCTGACGAAGAGCCCCCAATTAGTCTGACGAAACAACTGTCCAGTAATCCTAGGTTGTTCAACGGATTTCTGCGACTGATATCAGCTCATGATGAAACCCTCCAACTAATATAGAATTACATACTACTAACACAGTGCCAAGGTTTTACACAGATATTAACAACGATAGTAACATCAAAATACACACATACTTATCAGATTAATTTATGAATACGACAATACGCTACAAATAATCCCACTTACACTTGAGTACTAGAATATAAAGGAGGATTAGTATCCATTAGTGAAGTTGCTGAAGTTTTCCACAGGAAGAAATCACATGTATTACCTGTACTACCAGAACATCGGTAAAATAAACGACCTGAATAAGGAAAAGAAAATAAAGATTCACCCAATCGATTACCTTTAAAAAAATAAATAAAGACAACGCAACATATTTCTCTTAAAACAGAATTTGTAGTCTCCCCCACTCGGTTTTCACTCGGCAGGCTATGTGGTGGGTGACGTCACTCAACAGTCGAGTCCATCTGAGCATTTCCTAACTACATACATTTCTGTATAATAGGAAACCGACCATATATATTTATTGTGTGACGGTTGGTGACACTACCACTTGGCTGCCCAAACATCAGTGTAAGTGGAATGGGGTCCCAAGACTGACTGACTGGTTTCAACGTAGAAATTTGCACAGATGTGCGGCAGTACCAGTTGCCATCTTTCCTGGCTGGCTGACTCAAACTAACTGTTTCGGACTTATTTCATTTGTTGATGAAGCCAAGTTTTGGTTTGACTACCACTAGTTAACTCTTTTCCAACCTGTTCCATCCTATGACAGTCAGACAACACTACCTGTTGTCGAATAAGGTGAGTGATGACTAGGCCGCGCATGCGTAACACATGTACTAACCATATCAATCGATCCACCTGCTTCACAACCACGTTGACGATTGAATTCCCTTCCCATCTACCTAGCATTTGACCGATGTCTAACTTCAATATTGCTCACCTTATTATACCACACCACCTAACACTCACGGGAGATAGAAGGCAGCCACCTATGATGGAAGATAGCTAGCTAGACAGACCGTTCATGTCTTCCACTTTCAAGGAGGCTGGCCATGTCTCACTCACAACCATAAAGGAGGAGAGAGTGAAGTGACTAATGAGCAGTACGCACGCCCTTTAGTCGATAGCTAGCCAGCCGGATATCACGTCTAATAAGCGAGAGATGGCGGAAGTTGGCAGGCATATACGAAACTAGCCATCTGTAACCGTGGTGAGATTTCGTCAGAGATCAACGCGCTGGCGTTGGCAGATGCAACTTCCCAAATAAGTGAAGTGGCCAACACGTTCTAGCAACCATTTCACTCCTTCCTATCTTTAAGGTAGGAGTGAGTCAATTTAATTCAGTCCCGCAGCATCACATCATCTTACATTTGACAAAGGGAGTGAATCACATGCCAAACAATCGAAAATTGCTCACTGCTTAAGTTGTTCAAAAAAACTCTGTACTTTTTCAGAGTTCCCGCCGAGTTGACATCAGTCAGAGAAACTTTGGAAAGCCCGAAAGTACTGGACAGCTGTTTCGGCACCCTAGTTCGCGACTCTTCATCATCATGTACCCAGATCTTTGCTTCGGCAATATTTCTTCAGTCCATATCAGCACATAATGAAAGCAAAAACTCATCCTATCGTTTATAATAGTTCCGTAACCGCCACCAGCCCGCAAAAAAAACTACCTGCAAAATGAAGCTAATTAATATCTAAATAAAACAATAATTCAAAACAAACAAAAGAAATCAATTAAATATTCAATAACCTTGATTAGGTCCAGGTTTACGAACAGTCAATTGTATAGCTGGCTGACCACAATTACAAAGTACATTATTATTGCTATCTGAATCATGTTCATTATCTATTGATTGTGTTCTAGGTGGTGAACGAAAATTAGTACTACTAACTGATGGAAATGAACGTGAAGTAGAATTACCACTTATATTGGATAGGCTATTTGGCGAGAAAGGCTCATAATTATCATTATTCATCGTAGAAAGTGAAGAAAATGCAGATGTATGCGATAGTGGTGGTGGTGCTAATGTAGATAAACTTCTTGTCTGTTGGAATGTGGGCACACTTTGATCAGTTATCATTTGTCTTGACTGGTTTGTACGTGTACCAAATGGATTTGTAGAGTGAGATGAGTTATTGGTGCTGTTATTATTATTTACAGAAGCAGGAGTGGGAGTGGGAGTGGGAGTAGGGGGAACTGGTGGAATACGAATTCCTAATATTCTACAGAAATCTTCATCACAAAATATACAAGTGATATACCTATGAAATAAAAGAAACAAGACAGGTTGAATACTGAGAGACAGAGTGGTATGCATGCGGGGTGGAAATCATATACTAAACAAAAAAAATGCTGCTGCAATTCAACAATTATGAAACGAAATTATTATTTAAGCCTACTTTATTACTATTATTATGATCATAAAAACACAAACTTGGAGTATATTATGGACATCATGGGATGAGCCACACAAAATCTCATAGCTTCTGCGAGGGATGGGGATACTACCCAGACTCCTAGACGGAGGCAGGTGAATGTCTTAACAGCTCAATCCCCAACCTGAGTCTTTGACTAGAAGTTTGATCCAGACGATGATGGAGCAACCCCTCCGTGGTTTCAGGTGACCGAAACAGATTCATGCGCCAATCAGTCTATTCGGATTGTAGAGCTAGTGTAAGCCTTAGATTTGAAATCAAAGCTTTTCAGGTCCCCTCCTAATGTAGACCAGATTATTCACCAGTTCAGTCGTCAGCGTCTGACATTTGAATTTACCTTTTCACATTTGAGAAGAATACTCTGTTATACGACAGAGATGATTTGTAGCTCAGGTGGATGATTTTAATGTGGTTGTGTTCTCTGAGCTGGATAGTTAATTTGAGAAGCTTTCATTGCCCTTCTAGATGACATCTTCAGCGCCTACTTCAATTTACCGAAGTGAGCTTTTAGATTTTTCCGCGAGCTTGCTAGTCATCTCTGCTACTGGGTGACCTTTGTTATGTACTCGTCGCCAAATTATCGTTATGTACTGGTCGAGAATCTAATAGTCCTGACGCAAGAAGGCGGAAATCAGAAGACCACTAGGTTTGCGATGATACTTCTATTTTCCAAACACAAGGAGAAGCAATAAGTGGTATCACACCAAAGTGAGCGAAATATATATATGAATGTCCAGACAAGTGTGTGAACAAATCACTAGACAGTCTTAACATGAATGGCTAATTATAATGAAGTATCGATCCATATATACATAGCGAAATATAGCAGACATGTCAACAACCACACATATTATATGGATATATGTCACCAAGCAACGGACTGTCAACAAACACATATTATATATAATATAAGGGGAATATACATTGTTAAAGGAGACAGGTTCATCAAAGTGAAATGGTCACAGACTAAGAGAGCAACAGAAAGAGAGACCACCATATACATATATATATATATATATATATGGAGACATATCAACCTTAAAAGTGATTGGTTGTTTTTGTGTTTTCATACCCTCTAGGTTACTTGTATTGGAACTGATTGTTTCCTCGACTTGAACTTTGACCCTTTGTTATGGGATTTCTTTTTAATCGATTGGTAAATTTTTTCTATCTCGATGTGTCTATTGATTGATGATTCACTGGAATACCAGGCTTCTAGGAATTCGCTAGCATTCTTGATGTTTCTTCTGTCTAATATTTGAACGCTGGTTGTCCCAGTCAAATCGATGTCCATGATTGTCTCTATGCAGTGAAGTGATATGACGGAGTGGATGTGATGAATTTTGACGGCTAGTTTATGTTCATGGATAAGAAGACCAAGCGGATGTCCACTTTGACCAATGTAGTGTTTTTCGCTGTTGTTACAATTGATTTTATAGATGATGTTGGTGTTATCTTCTTTCGTTGTTAAGTCTTTTGTTTGACAGTTGAGTGAAGTGATTTTGTTGGTCTGTGTGTGCGATGTCAATTCCTAAAGGTTCGAAGAATATTGCGGTGATTTCTGAGATATCCTCTTTATGCATGGTAGGGCGATTTTCTTTGTACTTTCCTTGAGGGCCTTTGATTTGATAGGTTGACTTGGGGGTTCTGTGGAACTACAAAGTACATTAATGGTCATATCGTACCCTAACAGTAGCCTAGTTTATAACTTAACAACAGGTGAATATACCGTCGGTGGCACAGTGGTTAGGACTCTTGCCAACCATGCATATGGTCCGGGGTTCAATCCCCTCCCGACGCACACGAACAGCGATCCACATAAGTGTATTATGCCTCAACCAAATAAGCCAAATAGGTGACAACTTAAGATATCAAATATCAAAAGGTATTAGTTAGCGAAAGACTTGAGTACATTCCGAATTTCTAATATCATAAATTCCCTGTAACATTTACTGGCAGATTACAATGAACAACATCACCAACTACACACATGTCGTGTCATTCATTGAACTTGTTAATCACGACAATGCACACACATACACACACTTATAACCAATTTGTTGCATTGATTACCATCCGGAGGCCAATGCGCATAAACTGACTGACTAGCAGTGGAATCCAGGAATTCATCATCAGCTAGATGTATCTGCATTCCCAATGAGTGATAGTGTCTCCTCACTGAGACTAGGGCCTTGCACCGCTTCATTTCAAACACCATAATAATAGTTAACTTCATATCCACAGACAGATCCATTTACAGAGTGCAAAATACATTCAAAGCCAGTGTGAACAAAGCTAACGATGACGCTACTTATATATATGGATGTTGAAAATAGAGGAGTTCGAAGAAGTAGGGTCATTCATGGTAGCGATGAAATCCCATAGAAAAAGATGTCAAGTTTATTGATTAAATGAAGGTCAATTGTTAGGACTGTAAGACTTTAATTACTGATATAATGAGGATATGTGCTATACACGCCAAGTTATCATCACCTTTCCGGACAAGCAGTATCACATGACTCACAGTGAGAACCTTTTCAACTCTGCATTGAGGCACTATAGAAGCATCAAACAAAAAAGTTGAATGATGACAATTTGTAGAAATACTATATATTACTTATAAGTAGTTAAAAACTGTAAAATAAAAACCTTACTCTTTATTATCATCGTCTTGAAAATAACCATTCGGCAGATGGAAATTACGTCGAAAGCGTAAACCTAACTTCGACGGGCCTGAACGATTTGAAGAATGTATTACTGATGGTGAAATATAATTCGTACACTGGCTGCATGTTGTTGCATTCGATTCCGGTAAAATGCGAACATGTACAACAGAATCAGGGAACCAAATTGCATATCGACAGTTTGGATAACTAGAACATGATAGAAACCAACCACCATTGTTTGTCTGACCAATTTCCATTGAACTTTAAGGTGTATTGGAAGGAGAGAGAGAGAGAAAAAGAAAAAGGAGATAAGATGAAAATGTTACGGAAATCTTGTTGACGAATGAAATAAGAAACAAATAGGAAAATTTAATACAACAAATGAAATTTTTAAAATTTTGAATTGTTCATCTGCAGAAATTCAAGTGGTTTCGAGTTAGATCACGAGTGGACATCCATTAAAGAACTAAATGAGAATCAGCACAGAGTGCTGAACATCCTACTTTGTAACTCTTCAACAGCATTACGTACATACGATCGTCTCGACCCCATTCATAGGGGTCGAACTCAGGACCTTCAGGTTATGAAGCGAACTCATTGACGAATAAACCAATGCAACGGAATCTGATTACCCATTAAATCCAACCTCTTATCGATTTGAGACATATATATATATAAGTAGTTCCTTATTGTGTATGTAATTCAAGTCGAACATTCCAGTTGAGTCCTTTTATCATTGTCTGCTCAGTAAGGATTGGAATAGCTGGCTAACCCTATCAGTGTAGGACATTACGCAAAACTTTACCAATTCAAGTTACCACATTGTAGAGAAGCACATATAAATGAAGGGTAAAGAAACATACGATGAAACTATAATGAACGAAGATGTATTACACTGAATAGTAAGAGGAGAGTTTCTCAGCATACGTGAATAGTAATAAGACAAGAACACTCTGGTTATCAATACATGATATTTCCAAGAATTAGTTTCAGGTTAGACCACGGATTGATGTCAGTTGGAGAAGCGTTGAATCGGGTCCCAGTGCCTGAATGGTATACGAGCTAGCTTGCCTTGTAACAAGAAGTCCTGGGTTCGAAACCTAGTGAGTGCGTACTAGCAATGAGTCCAAAACTAGGCTGACGAAACAGCTGCCCAGTACTCCCACTAGTTTCCGATGGTTTTCTAACTGATATCACTCCATGGTCCAACTTGGAATACATGATACGTTATTTCGAGTATATAAAAAAGACTATTGTAACGACAGAAGACAAGAGTCAGGCAACAGATCGTTTATTGAGAAAATCAACAGATATTTATAGATTTTTATGTACATTATTATTCGTTACTGTTAGCATAGAAGCAGCGTCTTCGGATTGGCTGTTTTCCTGCTGAGGACTATTCTGTCATCTCTTTGTGGCAGCTTCTTAGACAGTCTAGTGATATATCTGCGAATCGTATCCGCCCACGCTAAGTCCGCTGCAATTGGCTGTTGCGTTCCTCAAAGTAAGACTTTGTTCTTCTTTTGTCTCCTGACCTCGATTTGGGACGTAAACATTGACGTAAATTGGTGCTTAAAATTTTGGCTTGCAGACAGCGCCCACCACACTTGCCCCCCCCCCGTTAAATAGTTTCGCGCGCAGATGTTCCGACCTTCTGAGCGATACATCCTCTCGTTGATGATTGTTACGTGCCGGCTTGTCTTACTGCATCTATCGTTGGATCTGACTGGCGTTAACTCGCTTTTGTTTGTCACCTCTTCTGATGGTATATACTTGAACCTATCTTTTTGTGACCGTGTATGGTTCTTCCCACTTTGAAAGGAGTTTCCGTGAACCTGGTCCGCATCCAACTGCATACCTTCTGTCTCTACACTTCACTTGGTCCCCGACTGTAGGGTAATGCACTGAGTCTTTTCTTTCTGCTCAGACTTCGTGGTCTCCCTCCGCTGCTTTTGCGTTACATTCCTGACTGCTTCCTTCCGTTCAGTTTCATTATACTCCACTTTTAGTGAAGGCGCCAGGTCTCATTGTTTATCGGTAATCGTGGTTTTCTACTATACATCAGTTGAAAAGGTGACTTCTTCGTTGTTTCCTGGGCGATAGCCCAATGTACTAGTAGAATCAGTGAAAGCTCCGTCTTCGGGTTATTACCCTTCGAGGCCAGCCACTCCTTCAGTGTAAGGTTGTTTCTCTCCGTATTTTAAGCTCGCATTTACTGTGTATAAAGATAAATCTCCAGTAATTTTAAGGCTTTAGTGATTGTATTCAAGTGTTGGTGGTTGCTGAGATTTTGATTGATTTTAGGTTAGATCAGTAACTGATATCATTTAGAGAAACACAGGAAACCCATAAGTGTACTCAATAGCTGTTTCACTCTAGTTTACACGACTCTTCAACAAGACTCACTTATGATTCTACCGGAGATCGAGCCCAGTTGACGAGACTAACTCGCCAACTATCCAGTCTGTTGGGACAGAATCCAATAGCCTATGAATTTGGACTTTTGCCAGTTTGCAATAATACAGCACCATCGTCAACCCATATTATCGGTGAGCACCAGTTTCTCACGCCAGACTCGGGGACTTCGCTGGTCACAAATTCTCACTAGAATCTATGGGGATTATGCTGTGATTCCCACCTTTCTTCTTTTTTGTTGACAGTAACATGAAGTAATGAAGCCTCCTTTCAATAATCATGGCGAGTATGCTTACTAGCTTGCCTATTAGTCTTAAGCAGCATTGTTATCTTATTGTTATTTTTTGTGTGGCTTACCTCTTGGCGCCAGTATTATGCCAATTTTATGTTTTAATCATAATAATTTCTGCCTATCGACCTCTTTAGCAGTGAAGCATAAACTACCATTGCTGACCCCATCCATATGTATCCATTAATTCACCTACATCTATGGACCTAGCAAGGTATGTTGGCGGTGCCCAGTGGGTTAGCTTTGATCTCTTCACATGACCTCCAAGTCACTCTAGCACTGACGACCAACTAGCTGCTTCCCTTTCGGGTTCTATTCAAGCAATGGCTTGTTTAGTGATGTCACTTGATGGTTTCCTCAAAGTATGGCCTCCAATCCACCTCCATTTCTTCCTGCCTATTTGTTTCACAATCGGTTCCTGGTTGGTTCGCTCATTTCCAGAGATCCGTGTGTCTGATCTTTTCTGGCCGACTATCTGATCTTGAGTAGTATTGAGCAAAAACAACTGTTAATGAAGGTCTGTAGTTTGTTTGAGGTGCTCATCATGGCGCGCCAAGTCTCTGATCCGTACAGTAAGTGGCACTGACTTCACATTGGAGTTGAAAATCCCGATCTTATTTTCATGGTGAGTGCTGTTGACCCCCACACAGACTTGAGAGTAATCAAAGCTTGCCTTGCTTTTTCTATCCTTGCTTTGATATTCCTCATCAGTTCCGTCCGCCTGTAGTTGAAATGATGCTTCCCACGTAGGTAAAGGAGGTTGTTTCTTTCAGATTTCTACCATTTATACTGGCTGATTGTTGTCTGTTGTTGGTCTTGCCCAGGATTCTTCATCACCTCTGTTTTATCTATGTTCACCTGAAGCCCTATCTTTGATGCTTCTTCTGCTAACTTGTTGCTTTATATATATATATATATATATATATATATATATATATATATTATTGTACGCTTTGAGAATGATATCGCTGGCAGCAGCCACTCTCTTCGTTGAACGTCTTTTCTTCTAAGTAAACATATGTTTCCCAATTACAAACACGTTAAGTCAAAATAACTACTATCCACAACGATTAAATTCATAGAGAACAAACAGGTATAAAATCAAGAAAAAAAAAGAAGAAAAAAACGAACCCATAATTATCAGATTGATTCGAACCAGTTGTTATCGGACGTAAGGCACTACGTTTCTGACGAAGTACTAAGTCTGATCGACAGGCTGGACAAGAAGCAATAAATGAAGCTGAACCAGTATTGCCTTGACTAGAACTCCCAGTAGAAGCGGTATTATTATTGATATTGGAAGAGAAAGACGCCATCTCACCGACACTACCAGATATATCTAAAGATATTTATAAAGACAAAAGGTGAGAGGAGATGAAATTCTCAAAAACTTATATTTCTGTACAACAGACAAATACTTTAGCCTTATTGTCATCACATGACTTGTATCGGTCAAGAATAAACTTATTTATTTAAACGCAGAAAAAGAAAAAACTTGATACAATATGGCACCAAGAAAGATGCGCTACACAATGTTGTGTTGTGTGAGGGCTGAGATACTGCAGGTGGTTTCCTTAAGGGACCACCCCCGAGCCTTTGACTTGGGGTCTAACCCGCAAGGCAGCGGAGCAGCGTCAGGAGCTCCATTCCCGCGGCTGCCCGTGACCCATATGGGTTCACACGACATTTGATCCGAGTGGATTCTGGAGCCTATATACCGCATATTAACTGCTTTTAGTCTAACCGCTATCCAAACAACCTTCCTGACATGGTAGGACCTGCAGGGACATGAGTCCCAGACAGTTTAGCTTGTTGGGTCACTGCGGTATTCAAGCCCGACCACCACGGATATATATTTAATATTTTTTTTAAATATTTTTGATTACAGCTTGATTCCACACTGTATTTTTGGTACAAGTATGAAATTTTCAGCATGGATATCGGTAGCCCAAATTTTGCAGGGCGGCCATAGATATCAGGTGTGCGTCGGCGGGGACTCGAACCCCAGACCATATGCATGGTCGGCGAGAGTCCTAACCGCTGTGCCACGGATGCACGTGCAGTTGGTCAAGAATGAAAACAAAAAAACAATAGCAGCCATTCCAAGGAGGACAAAAGGTAGTACACTACAATAGAGAAGATCTGTAACTCAGGTGGATGGTATTGAATTAGTTGTTTTCTCTGAGCTGAGCTGGTTAATTTAATTACGAGGCTTTGACCGTTCCCCGTTCTAGACAACATTCCCCTTCACAACAGGTCTAAGTATAAAGTGGACTTATTCAAATTCTCTATGATCGATGATATAATTGTATCTCATGGCAACCGTGGTTGTGACTGGTTGTTTCTTAATTTGTGTCTCTATTGATCATTTTTATTATTGACTTGAAATTCGAAGTTTCTTGTCATGTGATGATTTACTTTTTATTAGCTGACCACAAAAAAATTCATCCTACCATATATAAAAAAGTATCTCTGAAATAACATCCAGAATCCTTAGATCGTTTGAAATAGATACAGCACATAAACCAGCCAGCCAGCAGAATCACGTCATTGGATATGACGCAAAGCAAAAATAATCAATACCATTTGGAAAGTACAAATTGCATGCATGAACTGCAATAAACATTACATCGTTGGTCAAAGTGGGCGGCCCCTTCGAATCCGAATACACGAACACAAATTAGTTGCAAAAAGGCATGATATATATGCTCTTTTGTATCAATGAATGTGGATAATTGTGGACACCAATTTGATGATTGGGATAATGTAGAAATTTTGAATACGGGAGACACCAAAAATACTGTGTGGGGATTCCTAGAAGCCTAGTACTCAAATGAGTCAGCCAGTGATTAACAAACATATCACCTCTATAGACAAAATTTACCAGCTAATAAAAAGTAAATCATACGATAACAAGTTCGAACTCCAAGTCAGTAAAAAAAATGATCAATACAGATATACAAAGGGAAGGAGTCACGACAGTGGTTGCCAGAAGATACAATTACATCATCATTCATGGAGAATTTAAATTTTCCACTCATAAAAGAAGGTAAATTAGAAAGTGATGATTTTTCACAAACATAATTGTGATTGTTATGATTAATCAATCTGCAAAATGAGTTGAATAAGTGCATCACAGTAATGTAATAAAATGAATAATCTAATCAATGAGTTGTAATCAGGAGGTGCACATAAAAACGGAAGAAAATAAGGAGTTATGTAAGACATCTAAAAGAAATACAAAAGTCATTAGGAGTTAGAGAAACAAGGAAATAAAAGTCAGGTCAGCAGAATTCAAAGTTGTTGTTGTTGACGACGACTGCTACATTTTCACTACTTATTTTCATACAGTTAATTTCAAGGCAACAAAAACGCATTCGTTCGAATAAGTTTAAACATCAAATGTGCATATATGAGTCGATTTATTCAATTATAACAATCAGCCTTGGTTACAGCTAATTTCTTATTGTACGTTTCAACAAGAACTGACTTCATACAGTACTGAAGCCTTCTACTGTTTTGCCATTGTTTAAGACTCTTCACTGGAGGTCAGAATTGATGGAGTATTGGATTCTTTTACCAATACCTAAACGGCCAACCAGCTTGCCTTACAACCTGAAGGTCCTGGGTTCGATCCCTGGTGCAGTCATGGGTAGATACTGCCGAAAAGTCCCAAACACGGAAGAAACAACTGTCTGGCACTTCCTAGCCCTTCTCCAATTGAATCGGTGCTCAAGAAGTACAAATACGAGAGAACCAGGCAGGCTTTAAACCAAGAATATGATGTATTGATCATACCTTCAACCTTCGACAGATACTGGATCATAGACAAACTTACCGGAGTCCAACAATCGTCGTATTTCTCCACCTGGAAATGATATTCGATTTCATCGACCGAGAGGTATTATGGTGATGTTTGGCTGTGAAGCGAATATCAAGGAAATACATTGCACTGATCAAGGCACTCTACTGGAACTCATGCATCCAGGTGAGAGACTCCGCAGAGTTGCCATCTGAATTGATGAAATGACAACCATTGGTGTCCGTCAGGGATGCCCACTGTCTCCATTTCGATTTAGTTTCATCACAGATGTACTAATCGACTTAACCCTAACTCACTTCAGTGACTCAGATATTAACTTGTTATCAAGTAATAATCCCTCTGCCTTAGAATACGCAGATAATATAGATGAATTATGGGTGAAGACGCTGACAAAAAGACCAGTCTTTTGAACACCTTGAGTAATGAACAATCTTCGAATGTTTCGCATGCGATTCATTTCCTTTCACAAATGGAAGATGACGCCACAGGACTTCACTATATTGACTCTCTTCTAGCTTAGAGATAGGCGAGAATGAAGTGGTTGGTGGAGCGTGTTGACCACTTCACTTATTAGGGAAGTTGCATCTGCCAATGCCAGCGAGTTGATCGCTGACGAAATCTCACCACGGATACAAACGGCCTGCCAACGTACGTCATTTCTGGCTTAATAGACGTAATATCAGGCTGACTGGCTGTCGAACAAAGAGCGTGTGTACTACTCAGCAGTTACTTCACTCTGTCCTCCTTCATGCCTGTGAGCGAGGCATGGCCAGCCTCATTGGAAGTGGAAGACATGAAAAGCCTGGCTATCTAGCTATCTTTCATCATAGGTGGCTGCCTTCTATGTCCCGTGAGTGTTAGGTCGTGTGGTGTAATAAGGTGAGCAACATTGAGGTTATGTATCGGTCGAGTGCTAAGTAGGTGGGAGGGGAAATCAATCAACGACGAGGTTGTGAAGCTACACCGATTGAGAGAGATGGTTAGGACACGTGTTACGCATGTGTGGCCTAGCCATCGATTGTCTTCTTCAACAACGGGCAATGTTAGCTGACTAACATACGATGGATCAGGTTGGAAAAGAGTTAGCTAGTGGTGGTCAAGCCAAAACATGGCTTCATCAGTCAGTGAAATAAATCCATAACAGTTACTTTGACCCACCTAGGAAGGTGCAGACTTCCTGACTGATTGGTTGGAGTTCTCGAGATGGTGAGAACCAATGGCGGCGGCTAGAGACAAGTGGTGATATGGTTGGCGCAAAATCGTCGTTTTCAATGCCTGGTACAGGTATGCATTCACTCTTTGTGATTTACAATATCGAATACAACTCCACTGATCTTGCATATTACTATTCTTTTTGCCTCACTCATACCTCTGCTTATTATCTCTCACTCTTTTGAATCTGTTTATACTCTCTACTCTTTCTTTGTGGGCAACATGGAGTGAGTATGGCAGCTCGAACTTCTGGACATCTGTGCAAGGTAGTTCCACGTTGAAACCAATCAGTTAGTTAATCTAACTGAAGTTAGTTCGTGAAAAATAAATCACCCATTTTGTCATCTGTTCTCCGCTCTGACTGAACACCTCTTAAGATAGCAAAACAACACATAGGTGGATATAGAAAAAGTTTCGATTAATCAATAAAACTTCTTTGCCAAGAAAGACAAACTGTTGAATTGAAGACTGAATACGGGTCTCACATACTGACCGACTGAATGTATCACAACATAACAAAATCACTCTAAGCCAGTTGTTGACAATGATTTTCAGCTATATCACCAATAGTCTCTAGTCATGATTGGTTCTTACTATCCTGAGTACCTCCCAATCAAGCAACATACATTTTTCCCAGGTGGCTGGTTTAAACCAGCTGTCAACCAACTAACTATAAAATTTCTCAACAAAGAGGAGGAGGAGGAGGATGATAGACAGCTTGACATCCGCGTACAACAAGTGTTCTATAGCCATCTCAATTGTTACAGCTTCATAAACACTAGATTACAATTGACTTCCTCTCCTTACCTAACACATTCTGCGTCTAACTGACCATAACATAAGATAAAATGGAAACACCTATGACGAAAAATGACCATCTTCCAATTCCAATGACTATTTCGCACAGTCACAAAGAAGGATAGAGTAAGCTTCTTATGTAGTACACACATTATTTGATCGATATATAGGCCAGATATCAGATGATGAGATATATTATACACATAAGATAAAAACAAAACAAATAACAGAGTTAGAGAGAGACAGAGGGACGAAGTAGAAGATATGCATAATAGAGCATAATAAATGATCTCTGTAGTGAATAAGGTTTGATATGTTAACTTACTTCGAACATTTTCTGCTTCTTGTTCTAATCGAATAGCTAATGCTCTATCCAATAGTGAAGCTTGTTGGATAGCTATACGAAATAATTCTTTGTATTTACTCAAATGGTAACGTAATACTTCTGAAATTTGTTTTTAAAAAGAGGAAACAATTAGACAATTAGTATGTTTTTATTATTATTATCGTATATTATTATTCCCTTGGGTTCTAGGCGGAACAACAGCACATCCCTCTATTTCAACCAGTTTTGTGTAATCTTGTTTTAGCTAGCTCCAGAGGATCCCTCCCTGTCATCCTAAGACTCTAAGCCCTAATCATCATTTCTCAATCAGATTCACTTGCCGTTTGGTGTCATCAGCCAACGATCTCTTCAGCGTATTTACACATAAAAACACTATTTTGAACTCATAAATATATTTCTTGGAAAGGATACAAAACTATGTTGTCTGACAACTTGGACAGAGTTGCACAGTACCAATTATATGGATAACAAAATCTCGAGAGACATGTAATCATCGCCTACTATGGATAAGACTTTATCGTGATAAATCACACAGTGTTGTTCAGTAATATATAATGATGACGTTTCGAGAAGATTGAAGAGGCGTTGGTGTTAAATAACTAACTATTCTATAAAATTCACTAGGAATATCAGAAAAGGTAAAAAGCAAAACAAAAATTAATGATGAAGCTAATAATGACAACATAAATAAGAAAGAATAAAAGGCATCTACAATTTTAAATAAATAAGGAGGGGACATCTGAGATGAGCCCCTACGTAGGATTCGTAATAAAACACCAATTAGGGTGGCATTCAAACCTACAAACTCACTCAGACAGGATAAGCCCTGTACGTTAAAGGACCCAGTGGACCCAATTAAACAAAATAATAAAATTTACAAAATACCTCCTAATGACTGTGGGTTAAGTCAACTACGTAGGTCAAACTAGTAGATCGGGAATAGTGAGATTATCAGAACATGCGAATTTAGTTAAGGTTACAATGATTGATCCCACGGAGATAAGAAATTTAGAAAAAACCTCAGCACTACATTGCACTACATGCATTAACACACAACCATACAGTAGGGTGGATGGGACAGAGTCAAGATTCTAAGAAGTAATATAGGTAGGTAGAGAGAGAGAGATGACTGAATCCTGTTTGATTCATCCAGTCTACTACGCCTAACACATGCAACAGAAATGACTCAACGCGAATACCGGAAATATGCAAGATTATTACCAGTTAAATCAGAAGATTTCTGAATCTACTTTAGCTTATATTGATTTTATTCATCTGTCTGTTTGTTTTCGACATAGAACTTTGCACAAATCTGTTACTCATGTATATAAATGAGGCAAGAAAGTTTTGTGAGTACCTTGATATAATTATCAGCTGCAGTAATAAATTGTGCTCGAAACGTGGTCGTCAGTAAATACTACTGTATAATACACTGGGTGATTTTATTAAAATAAAGTCTTATCCATATATTGGAGTTATACTCTACCACAGTACCCATGTTTTATCCTTATATGAATAATCACCGCCTATATTATCAGTAGAGACAATTATATTTTATTCATTTGAATCATTCATGAAAAAATTGAATTGAATTTTTTAGATTTGATTCGAGCCTCAGTGGGAACATCATCACTTACTGGAGAATGCAGGTATATCCAGGGGGCGAGTTCCAAATAGGACGAAATGCGCATCCTGGATTCCACTGCTAGTCACCACCATCCACCAACTAACATTCATGAAAAACTATAAAACAAAAACTCACTCTATATTGAAGTGAACACTGAGGATGTTATCGAAATTAGACCGTAACTAAACCACTCAGCTGAGAGAATACAACTACATCAAAACTATTCGCTTAAGCTGCGCACATTCTCTTCCTCATTAAAATTGCACTAAGTGAAGAAAATCATATCACATTTGTTTAGACTGGTCTAATGAAATGTCCAAAGAGGACATAAGTTTGCTTAAGGTTTGCAAATACACCTTACTGACGAGTGACAACATGGACGAAACCCAAGTCAAATGAGGGGGGTGGGCTTCCCTGCCGGTTGCCTTCCATCAGCTCACATCAATGTAAGGTACACCGCGATGACAACATTGCAAACTCAGCTGAGATAGAATTCAGTTAGTTAGCACAAACATCAGGAGTAGGCACATGACATTGGTTACCCACTAATAGTAGTGACCGATGAATGTAAAACTACAGCTCATTTACAGCTGCTCGAGATACTGTCGTATCATTTAGTAATAGTTATACAGGTCTACAAGGCTAAAGCAAGCAAGGTAATGTGGGTAGAAAAACATTCTTTCACAGTCAATCAAAACTCAATTGCCAGAAAACCTGAATAAGTTTTGTAACTTAAAGACATAGAAAATAAATTATGTTAGGGAAATATGCGAAATAATATGAATTATCAACGTGGAAATATGATTCGTCGATTTAAACAGTCGACTATCAGTGACTGGATCTAGAGGTCAACTCTCGCTCCACCTAATACAGCCTGGCAACGCTAGAGGTACTAAATCTAAATGTGGGCTTACAACGCGGCAAAAGGTAAACTGTGTTACAGTTAACTAGTACTGGTTACTAATCCCAACCGACAACTGCTACCTTCTCACGATGGTCGGGCATGAATACCAGTTTGACCCACCACGCTACACTGGCTACGACTTACGTCTTCACAGGTCCTACCATGTCAGGAAGGTTGTTTGGATAGCGGTTAGACTAAAAGCAGTTAATATGCGGTACATGGGCTTCAGAATTCAATCGGATCAAACGGCATATGAACCTGTACTATTGGTCACCGACAACCATAAGAATGTAGTTCTTGACGCTGCTCAGATGCCTTGAAGACTAAACTTCAAATCAAAGGTTCAGGGGGTAGTCCCTTAAGACAACCAACTGCTTCAGTCTGAGAGCCCAGGCAGTATCTCAGCTCTCACACAATCAACAACTGATTACTAATAAGAACTATCGACTGAATGGTCATTTAAAACTAACTCATTGATTTCGTTACACCAGCACACTCTGAAATTCCTTATCGGTGTTTACGAATCTCGTCTCACCCCTCTCCAACACCCCCCCCCTTACTAAATTAAGAATAGGTTGAAAAACATTAGCGAATCGATAAACATATACACAGATTGACAAAATATTTGAAGGGAAGTTTTTTAAAAAAGAAAAATCGTTTACCCACCGTCTTTTGTCTTCGACCTTCACATATCCTATTAAAAAAATGAGAGAAAAATTCAGTAAATAACAAAATCAATACACAGGTTGCTGTATTATGTGAAAAGTCTATTCGTCATTTGACCCATCAATAAACTGCACAAAGCTATGTGCTACTAATTGATTGAGATGAACAGAGAAGTAGCAGTGACTTGCTAGCCAGCCAGCCACCAGGAGGCAGTCTCATTTGTTTACAGCTGAGAGCATCATCAGAGTTCGCCCAGGTGGATTGATAGTAAGCGAACAAAATAGTAATCAAATATTCTAAGCCAATGATTGCAGAGTTCATCATGGTCACATGACCTTGGAACTCACTTCATTGTCTAACCTCATTAGCTAATCATCAACCAATCAGAAGAGTTTATTTTCCACTGAACTAGGCAAATGTTAATATGGTTAGAAATGTATAAATATGATGTGATTTTTTTCATAATAAAATTTCGTATTCTAACAGTCAAAGGCTATTCATTATAATAAGGGTTTTCTTGTATTTCCCAATGAATGAGAAACAAAACGATATTGTCTGTTTTTGCTGACGTTTCGCTATTTAATGCTGCTGGTAATAGCTTTACCAAAGCAGCAGTGTTTGTTATTAAATCAGAATTTACAAAATCCACTCAGCTTATATATAACAACTTAATCATCTTTCCTCAGCATGGGGGCACTTTTGTGTTGTCAAATTGGCCAATGGGTAAAGATAAGAAAACCAGGTGTAGACTGTTGGATTTGATAAGTGTGTAAAATTATAAAAACAACGTGCTTTTACATAATGAAATTGCTTATCACATTCGTGTTGATTTTGTCATTTCATTGGGGAGAGGTGGCGTGTTGTAACCAGGTCAAATTCTGTTTTATTGATATAAGTATAAAACTTGCGCACTGTGGTGGTAGAGTACAACTCCATTATGGATAAGAATTTATTTTGATAAAGTGTTACACAGTAATATTAACTGACGATCATGTTTCGAGCACAAACTATTGCCACTCATAATCATATCAAGTTACTCGCACAATTTTTTCCTTCATTTATATGCATGTGTGGAACTGACTAGATATTTAAATGAAAATCAATATAGGATTATGTACATTCAGAAATAATAATATGATCAATTGCAATCAGATGGGAAATGCAGCAGAAATGACTTAATGCAAATACCAGAAATATGGAAGATATTATTACCGCCAGTCAGTTAAATCAGAGGTGGATAATAAATAATCTCAAAATTCTATTTCAATTCACGTACATCATACAAAATTCTAACAAGTTACTTATTTTGACTATAAAAACACTCGTCTTATTTCCCATCTCATTGTAATTGATCAATAACACTCGTACTATTATTTCTGAATGTACATTATCTCACATTGATTTTTTAATCCAATATCTAACCGATTCAACACATGTGTATAAATGAAGGAAAAAAGTTGTGTGAGTGACTTGAATGTTTATGATCTGCAGTAATAATTTGTGCTCGAAAGGTGGTCATCAGTTAATATCACTGTATAACACTGTGTGAAACTTTATCAAAATAAAATGTTATCCATAATGGAGTTAAATTCTGTTTTAGTCCGTCATTCCTATTCACTTCCACTTGATACGGAGTGCTTCGATGATGTGAGACGTTCTTTTTGATTTCTGAAATGCTTTTTCTGGATGATGATTTTAATATTGTCAAAATCAATTTTGTGGCTTGATTTATAGCATGTAGACAAGCTATGACTGATGATTTTTCAGGATTTTCTAGTTCACTAACTGGATTTCTCGGTGGTCGAACATAGGCAACTCTACGGTGTTCACTTCTTCTGATTTTGATTTCTCCAAATGTTGTCCACTGTATATCACATCACATTCCAAGCATTTTATTTTATAGACACAAGTTGATAGAGAATCTTTAGGGATTTGGTCTTTTATATGGACAAGGTTGTTTCGAAGTGTGTCTGATGTTTTGAAGAAAACTCTGATGTCAAGTTTATTGAGTACTCTTCTGATATCATCTGACGTATCTGGTGGTCTGTTATGGAATGACAACTGTTGAGGTCCATGTTTTCGGAATACGTTTTCGACCGTACTTAATGTCAGTATTGGTTTTATTTATGAAGTTCTTTGGGTAGTTGTTTTGCTTGAGAGTTTCAGTAATGTGTGATATTTCTTCTTCTTTTTCTTTCTCATCTGTTGACATCAGAAAGTGTGCTTGCCTAAGAAGATTTGAAATAACCGATACCTTTGCGCTGATGGGGTATGATGATCCAAAGTCTAAATATTTATTGGAGTGGGTTTTCTTCCTGAATATAGATATACCGAGATGTCCGTTTTCCCTCCTCTAAACTAGACAGGCAGTGCATCGAAGTCTGATTCTGTTTCCGAAGTAAACTGAATTGTGGGAGATAGATTGTTCAGTTTCTGCAAGAATGAACTGTGTAGATCTCGTTTTAGTACTACAAAAGTATCATCTATGTATCTTAACCATACTTTAGGAGTGCGTATACTTGAAAAGACGTTATCTTCGAAACTATTCATCAAAAGATCAGCGACAATTGGCGAAACTGGTGAACCCATAGCAACACTATTTGTCTGTCTATGTAGATTCCCCTTAAATATAAAGTAATTACTTTCTAGGCAGAATTTCAAGCTCTTCATTATTTCACTGGTGTCCATTGGGAAACACAAAAAAGCCTTTATTATAATGAATATGGTATACCCAAAGCCCAATTTTTTTCAAACTGTTAAAAGTGTACTTGGTTTGGACATATATAAGTCAAAAGACTAGTCTTTATCTTTTGAACATTTATGTGACTGATTCAATGAAGAGAAAGGTACTAGGGATGAATACACATACCTAAGCATTTCTGTTGAGCTGTCCATTGCGTTCAGTGTTATTTATAACCACGTATAAGTCCACTAGGTCATATCAATTTGCGATGGATTTATTATCGCTGACTCACCCTCAAAGAGTCGAATCAGTTCAAACCATACGATTTCTGGCTAGCTTACTTGGGTGAACTGGTGACACCATATATCAGATTTACCATAATAATATATAAATCAATTCGCTAATTACACAGTTCCAGGTGATTATGTCACCACAGTTGCCTTGGAAACCGAACTTATTCAGATCACAATAGATGATCTTCTTGATAGCATAAATATTAATCAAGAAACCAATACCAAATGCATAAAACTACATAAAAGTGCAAAAACGTTTCACAATAACTGCATCTTGAAATACTCAGGAGGAATGTGTCGGCTCCAATTGTTGGACAAATCTACTGGAATTGAAAACATTTATTTCCCCGATACGAATTTACAAACAAGCAACAACAAAAGGTGTTAATAAAGCAGGATTTAATGAATATTCATCAAATTTCGGTAGAACCCTTTCTCAGCTGAATGGATACTCCACTTACAAGGATATAAAATTAGGGTAAAATGCATGAGGATTCAATGACATCACTTAAATAATAAACAATTAGTTATCAGGATTTCATCATGAACTGACATCATCGGTTAGAGAACCATTGGTAAACCAGCAGGGAGTACTAGACAGCCAGCTGTTTCGTCAGTCTAAATCGCGACTCTTCATCAGTAGGCACTTACTACAAGAATTCGAACCCGGAACCTCCTAGTTACAAGGCGAGCTAGCTCGTAGACCATTAAGCTACACTGACTCGCCAATCGAATGGCCCGTCCATGAATTCCGAATTCTGCCAACTCACGACACAGCACCACCACTAGCCAATGTCATCGCTGGTGAGTATTTGTTCTCATGCCTCACCTGCTATACCCTGCTGGTTACAACTTCCCACTAGAACCACAGGTAACTACTACCTATCTGAATAGGACCAGTCGCCAGTGAGCATCCGTCATTGATATTCAAATATTGTTTCTCTAATCGATGTCAGCTCATGATGAAATCCTGTAACCAATCAATCAAATTCCTATGAAACCAATGCTTGAATTAGTTATCAATGAGTGAAAGAACCCGTATGTATCAAGAACTTCTAACTTAATAATACTGGTATAATAATAGTGATGCCAATAACTGTAACAATAATAGTAATCAGTAATAATAATAATAACAATAATACTGATACAATGAATTAAGATAATCGTAATGATAAAAATAGTTTGAAATAAATCAGAAAATGTAACAATAAGAGGTCGAATAAAATGTTAATAGTGATAATAACAGTTAATAAGTAAAACATATGGCCGTTATTATTATTAAAACACATTACTAATATTATTATCAGTATAAAGGTTGAAGACAAGGGCCAGGCAACAGATCGTTTATCAAGAAAATCAACAGATATTTGTAGATTCCTATGTACATTATTACTCGTGTTATTGTTAGCAGAGAAGCAACGTCTTCTGATTGGCTGAATGTTATTCTGTACTGCTTGTGACCATTTCTCAGAAAGATAAGCCATATCTCAGCAAATCATATTTGCACACATGAAGTCTGTTATGATTGGTTGGTGAGTTCCTCGGGGTTAAGCGTTGTTCTTATTTTTTTTCTCATGATCACGTAAACATTAATGCAAATTGCTGTCTACCAATTTCGGCTAGCGGGCAGCTCTCATCACATCAGTATTATTTAGTTCGAAATTCTTGACATATTCAAATTCTTTCACTCAGTGATAACTAATTAATTGTTTATTCAAGTGATGTAATTGAACCGTGTAATACATTTTACCTTAATTCTATTTCCCTGTGTGTAGAGTCTCTATCCAACTGAAAGGTATTTCTACCGAAATTTGATGAATGTTCATTAAATTCTGTCTTATTAAGACATCAATGTTCCTGAGTTTAAATCTACTGGAAGCTAACACCTGGGGTTATTGACATCAAAAACTCTTCATCAGATGAAAACCAACGCCCATTACCTACTTATCTATGTATGTTATAAGATTTAAACCTACAATATCTAATGCTTCATCTTTTCATTGGAAAATATTCATTCAGACATTTAGAAAATAACAAAAACATGACAATTGAGCAAAGAATATCCTTTCCGATAATTGCCTCTTCTGGCTCTAAAATTACATACATGCATGTATGCATATATACATAATATTCTAGAATAATCGTCATTACCAAATATTGGTGTTTTGTTTCAAATACTAGCGATTTGTTAAGTAAGATTACAGTGGAATTACCACAGTTCAGGAAAGATGACGCGTAGGTTATAATAAGCATAAAAATGTAATAGTAAATAGAATATCAAATAAAATTAAGGAAATTTTTACAACAACAAATTAAGGATCGTTAAAGCTTTGATGGTCAGGAGGGTGGTAAGGACAGTGTCTGAACCAACCAACTACTTTTTTTGGATACATAAGTTAGGATTCTTAATGTAGATCATAACAGCCACTCTCAGCAGTATGTAGTAGACGAACACTTAAGGTGAAGTTAAGTTTAGTTGGTATGAGGTAGACGAGTTTGAAACCCGCCTTGTTTACATAAATCTTATGTTCTGCATCCACAAGATGAGACAGTATGGAACTATGAATGGAATTTTTTTTCTCCCTTACTTAACCACCATGCAGGATGGTGTTCGGAAATCCGACGATAAACACATGGCAATAATTGTACAGCCTATGAAACTAACTGGTTGATGCCACAGGAGTAGTCAAATTGGTAGATACACATAGAAAGAAGAGACGAAATTAGGCAGTTTATCTTTAACTACTCCCGAACGCAAAATAGGGGGGGTGGTTTTGAAGACACAGCATAATTCAGCAGCACTGAATTTTGTTCGTTTTACCACCATGTTAATTAATATCTCACTGATGTTATCATCACTGAGTAAGTGAAATTGTAAATAGTAGGGCTTCCTTTTTCGGAACTGTTGTATACATAGAATATTCTAGAATAATCGTCATTACCAAATATTGGTGTTTTGTTTTAAATACTAGCGATTTGTTATGTAAGATCACAGTGGAATTACCACAGTTCAAGAAAGATGACGCATAGGTTATAATAAGCATAAAAATGTAATAGTAAATAGAATAACAAATAAAATTAAGGAAATTTCCACAAGAGTTTGAGGATCATTAAAACCATGATGGCCAGAGGGTAAGAACAGTGTCTGAACCAGAATTTTGGATACACAAGTTAGGTTTCTTAATGCGGATCCAAAAGAAGCTGGTTCAGACACAATCTTTAAAACCGCATTACCGGCCATCAAGGTTTTAACGATCCTTAATTTGTTGTTGTAAAAATTTCCTTAATTTTATTTGATTTTCTATTCACTATAACATTTTTATGCTTATTATAACCTATGCGTCATCTTTCTTGAAGTGTGGTAATTCCACTGTGATATTACTTAACAAATCGATAGAATAGTGGCCACATTGCAGACCTGACTGATAGAATTCAGTCTGCACCAAAGTAAGCACTAGACACACGCACTAGTTACTAGTGTCCAATCAAAGTATCCACTACAGTCCTACAGGAGGTCAATCGCCAGCCCGAACAGTTCAATGATAACGTCTCTGACTGCAGGCGGCACTGGGTGACGCGGGTTCGAATCTCAGAAGGGACATGAGTTCCTTCAAAGCAGTTGAAGATACGCCTTGCTGACTGATGAGTGCCAACTGGCACGAAAGCCAGGCTTCCTGCTGATTGCCTCCAACCATCTAAAATCGACAGTATTTAAAACAAAACAATAATATTGTTATTGACGATTATTCCAGAATATTGCGTATACACATGCATACATATATGTAATTGTAGAGCCAGATGAGGAAATTATCGAAAAGCATATTCTCTGCTCAATTTTTTGTCTTTTCAACAGGAAATTAAAAATATACACAGACATGTTGAAATTAGGCAGAAAGAGCTCCACAAAATTCCATACAACCTATTTTTTATAATGTTAGACAGGTGTATTCAATATTTACTAGCCTACACAAACACCCACGAACTACACCACTGTGATGTGATTAGAAATATTTTTCAAGCTCAATAGAACAAATAAAATGTGAACAATCATCACACCAATCACCCACCCACCCACCCCCATGAGCTGAAAATACTCCACACAATGTCAATTTGAACTACCGATACACACATCCGTAAGCTGCCATTATCTACTACTTCATCAACTATATTCACTGTGCTTCGGTGGCACAGTGGTTAGGACTCTCGCCGACCACGCACATGGTCCCGGGTTCGAGCCCTCACCGACGCACACCTGATATCTATGGTCGGCCTGCGAAATTTGGGCTACCGATATCCACGCTGAAAATTCCATACTTGTACCAAAAATACTGTGTGGAATCAAGCTGTAATCAAAAATAAATAAAAAAAAAAAATATGCACCCATAATTTATCTCATCTGTCTGTCAGTCTGATATATGTATCCACAGTCTATCTCATCAGTCAGTCGCTTAGTCAAATAAAAACAAATTAGATATGTTATTGTATGAGGGACGCGTCCACCAATCAGAATCCAGCATGCATTTAACGCCTACTACTAATACTATTCGAGCCTGGTGACTTGTGTTTTCAGTCGCTTGCTACCTCGTTTGTTTTGGAAGAAAAACACGTTTCCAAGTCTACTGTGTGAATGTCTTCCGAAATAATTTATTAGTTCAGATAGAGGAATTTTAATCGACTAGGAAAAATTATCAAGCTTTCATTATCATGAGGCCAACATTCAGGCATGTGTTCGCACTCAGAGATACCATAACAATTTCTGATGGAATTATTGTTTACTTTTGTCGTGTTATTTCAATCTTTCAACAATATAGATAATTTAGAGGCGGATAAATAAACCAACTGCTAACAATTAAATGATACAATAGAGTGTTACTATTGCATCGATAGGTCAATGGTTGCTTGAGTCCTACTTGGGTTCGATTCCCAGCCGACGTACAAATAAAACCTTAACCGCCTGATAGTAAGCCCAAAAGGGAGAGAGGGTCGGACGTGAGTTGTTATTATTATTACTCCCTTGGGTTCCGTGTGGAATATAAGGTTTAAACAGCACATCTCCATCTCGTCCTGTTCTACGCAATCTATTTCAGCTGGCTCCATGATTGACTATAAACCCTCCTAACTTGATCTCTTCCGTGTTCACCCCGGGAACCCAGTTCAACGCGTCGTCTTCCACTCCACAGCCTGGAGTATGAACGTTGCTTAAAAGCCTCTTCAGTGTGTCCAAACCACACGCAACCCCCCCCCCCACTATCTTCCGTACACTTCCTGGGCAATAAGCTCTCGGCTAGTTCGTTAGCAGAGTTCCTTGCTACTTCCTGATCCTTTACAACAGGCCATCTGATTATCAGTATCGAGTCTGAGGAAAGCAGTGGTTGTTGATGGAAACCTGTAGCAGTCTGTTTGAAATATCAAATGGTCAGTATACTCATTTTTTCAGCTACGTAACCTTAAAATACAAACACAATCTGGTAAAGTGCTTGGTTCACAGAGCAAGAGAAATCTGCTCGGATGAATGTCTTGATGAGGAACTTAATGATATTAAACAGTTTGTTGAGTGAAAATGGTTATCCAGAAAAGTTCATTGATAAGAATATGAATCAAAAATTAAGGCAGCCCAAGGTGCCAACAGTTCCTAAAAAGGTCTTATCATTACAAATTCAGTTCCTCGAGGATAACATCAGTGAGATACTAACACAACGCCTTAGGAATGAGATAAAAAGAGCATTCAGTTCTGTTGAATTATGCTGTGTCTTCAAAACTACCCAGCCTATTTTCCGTTCGGGAGTAGTTAAAGATAAACTGCCTAATTTTGCCTCTTCCATGCGTATCTACCAATTTAATTTCTCCCGTGGAGCCAGTTACATAGGCCATACAATTAGGCGTGTTTTTCGTCGGATTTCCCAATACCGCAATACTGCATAGTGGTTAATTAAGGGAAAAACAAAAAATATTCGTAGCGCTATTCTATCTCATCATGTGGATACAGAACACAAGACTGATGTAAACAAGGCTGCTTTCAAAGTCATTTACCGCATACCAACAAATCTTAATTTCGCCTTAATAGTTCGTTTATTAAATATTGATGAGGCCGTTGGGATCCACATAAAGAAGTTTAATATATGTGTCCAAAAGAAGCTGGTTCAGACACTCTTCTCACCCCTGTGACCATCTAGGTTTGAATTATCCTCAATTCGTTGGGGGAAATTTCTTTAAGTTTATTTTATTTGCTATTATATTTTTATTATTATTATTATTTATGCATCGTTAGTGAACTGTAGTAATTCCATTGATCTTACTTTACAAATCGAGAATTTATTAAAAAACACTTATATTGTTATTGACTACTATTCTAGAATATCCCATGTATATAAACACTTATATAATTGTAGAGCCAGAAGAGGAAATCATCGAAAAGGATATTCTTTGCTCAATTGTCTTGTTTTTGTTTTTTTCTAAATGTCTGAATGAATATTTTCACTGTATTGTTAGGTTATTGACTAGGTATCATCATTACACCTCTATCTTCTCTATGCTCATCACTGCAGATCCTGTCTTGAAGAACACTCAGTCAAATGATTTACAATCACATGTACATATTCAACCTATTTGTTGTGAAATAGTTTTTTTTCTTTTCGAATAATATACAAATCACAGGTAATAATATTTACAAAGCATTTAGAAATACAGAGAGAACTTACAACTTTAGATCAGCTTCAAATTGAGATCGTAAATTAGGCTTAGACATATCGAAACCCATTGAATCATAACCTAGAAACACGGGGGAAAAATAGTAATCCAAAAGGAAAACGGGAAATTTGAGTTTGAGCCTAGTGTATGAGTAGAGTAAATGTTTAGCACACATCTTTGTCTATTGCTTCTTAATTTCTTAAGTTATTGATTGATTGATTGATTGATTTAAAACACCAAAAGTGACACAATATAGCACCAACAAGATGCGCCACACAGTAACAATAAAACAACATACGAAAAGTAAAAATAGGCAGAGAATGAATAAAGGACTTCATCTGGGAAGAAGGCAGTTATATTTCACAAGATTAAACAGTATTCGTCAAATTATTGTCAGAAAGGGAAGGAGTGAGGGAAAATGCAGCACGTTCGTTGTTGACTGCGATTCTTGGCCATATCCAACAACGTTTAGAGCCACCACCGATTTGAGCTGTCTCTCAGACCCCAAACAGGGAGTCATGACGCACCAAACGATGCTAACCTACCACAAATACCCTTCATCCTACGACACCACTATGATCACCTCTCCGTTTTCACCATCCTGTCCCAGCGGTGGCTAGCTAAAAGAGACCGGTACGAAAGTCTCTCGATTGACATTTGTAGCACATGCCCTAGCCACCGAAGCCGGTGTTTCCAGATGGTGGCACTCAATGGATAGTGATCTCCACTGAGTCTAAACACACGCCTCCGGACCTCAGAGTTACTCACACGCTGGTACCAACGCAAACAATTCTACGAATACAGTGATGATAGAATACGCTGAGTCGCTGTTTATCCTCAGCTCGGAGAAGCCAAGTTTCGCAGACGTAGAACAAAACAGCGCCCACCGAGGCATTGTTAACCCGACCTTTGACAGCCAGGCTAACGTTGCAACGGCGCCATAGGTGGCTCAAGTTGATGTATGCCACCCTAGCTTTCATGATACGATTGGAAATCTCGTCCGTGACGCCTCCGCCAGCACTCACACAATTGCCCAGATACACGAATTTGTCGACAATTTCAAGGGGATCCGAGTGAGTGCGGGTACAGACTCCTGCACAAATCCAATCGAATCTCCATAAGCCTACCAACACTTAAAAGTAATAACTTATTACTTAACCAGTAAATCTGACGACTACTGACTTCCGCTAATGGAGAATATCACTCGACCATCATCTAACTTAATAACTAGTATGTTTGTCAGCATTTCTGTGTGTCACTGAATCGCGTCATTACTGTTGATATTTCTTTGGATTCCCAGATAGAATCTACCTGGAGAATATTTCCATTTCAACCTGTTCTCTTCAGTCTGCTTTTAACTAGCTCGACGATTGCTCATAAGCTTTAATTTGCTCTTCACACGCTCTTCTTCATATTAACCCAAAGACTGCAACGTAAACTGTTGCCCACTCAGGTTCCGTTCAAAGTTATATGTCTGACATCTAACGCCACTCAACGGTCTTCTCAAGGTGTGGTGTCCAAGCCATCTCCATTTCCTTCGGTATATTCGTTGAACGATAAGCTCTTGGTAGGTCGTTCCCAAAGTTTCTTGCTGTTTATCCTTTACGGTTGGTCATCTGATATTGAGTATACATTCGGTGAAGGGAGCATGGTGTTGAGAACGATTTTATATTAGTCTTGAAAAAGCCAAATCTTGCTCTTTATGCCGAGTACAGCAGCCTTCTATACTGATATTAGATGAATGATGGTCTTGCCTCTCATATCCTACATTTTGACATCTTCATGTATAGTTACAAACGATGCTACCTACTAGCTCAGACAAATGAAAAAGGAGACCCCCTTCTAATTTGTCCCACTGATAGTGTGATTGGTACTGGTTGGTTAAGTATCATCATCACTTTTGCCTTTTCTTTGTTCATTTGAAGCCCTATCTTCCCTTTCTACCTTCTCTTTCTGCGAACTTGTTGGTTTTCACGAAATCCAGATCTTCCACAGTCTTCTTGTGGCATCAACACGTGTGCCTATCTGTTCGCTACCCTGACTGACAGGTTCCAACGTAGAACTTTGCACAGATATGCATGCAGCAGTTCGAGTTGCCACACTCTCTACTTGTAGAACATTAAGCAAAGAAGAGAGCAGAAATTCAAAAGAAAGAACATAATAAACAGATGGTGTGAGGCAAAATGAATAGTAATATGGAAGAACAATAAAATTTTATTGGATATGATAAGTCGCAAGGAGTGAATGCATATCTGTGCTAGCCACTGAGAACGATTTTGAGCCAGACATATCACCAGTTGTTTCCAGCCGCCACCATTGGTTCTTACCCTAATCAGTCAGTCAGGAAGTCAACACCTCCTCCCTGCGTGGTTGGCTGGCAAGATGGCTGAAACTAACTGTTGTGGATTTATTTCCTGACTGAGGAGTCCATGTTTTGGTTTGACCATCACTAGCCAACTCTTTTCTAACCGGCTTCTAGTGTCAGTAAGCTAACAATGCCCGTTGCTGAGGAAGGCGATCGATAGCTAGACCACACATGCGTAGCACGTGTCCTAACCATCTCTCTCAACCGGTGCAACTTCACAACCTCCTCGTCGACTGATTTCCCCTCCCACCTACCTAGCACCGAACCAATGCCTAACCTCCATATGGCTCACCTTATTACATCACCTAACAGTGGAAACAGAACCCAGACAACTATGATTAAAGATAGCTAGCCTTTCCAAGTCTTCCATTTTTAGTGTCCAGGTCTCACAGTCATAAAGGACGGAGCGGAGCTATCCGTAATTGATTGAATGACCCAGTCCACAACGATTAGGAATATCATCATCGGTTATACCAGGTAGGTCTTGTCTTACTCTTGTTACCAACACTGCTCCTATCTATCTGATAGACATAAATAGCATGAAAATAATAAATACAATAATGGAAAACAAAAGAATGATAACACGCATTCTCTTGAGATCCAATTCATAATATATTTAATGTGAATAACAATAAAAATGTTAACCAACCAACCAATCGACCACACATACCTTCAACTAATCCCATGCCTAATTGGCCAGGGACAAGAAATTTATTCTGTTCTAAGCCAACATATAATCTTTGTTTGATTGTTTCAATGTGTTCTGCATGCGTAGCGTCTGTACCTATTCCATGACGATCCATAAGTGAAATAAGATCAGCTTCTGTTAATAAAGGTGGGGGACTTGTTTGACCAGTAACCATCTACAGGAGAGAAAATCAATGTTTCAGGAAAAGAAGTCCTCCTTCACTATCATCACTTGTTGTTAAACCAAAAAGGGAAATCTAAATATCAATCGCCAGCTCATTGATAGCTACTGGGTGGCTGTTGTGAAGTTGTATTGCGAAGTCATCGCCAGTGATGTCCACCATGTTAAAGTGGAGTGAATGCTCGTCAAAGGCACGAGTTGATAAAGTTAGAATTCACGGGTCATTGAATTCCAGCCCCAGTGGCTGAATGGTTCACAAAGCTTGATTATACAACTGAAGGCCATAGGTTCAATCATGGCTGCGCGCTGATGAGGAGTCCCGAACCAGGACGAAATATCTGTCAAGTACACACCCAGATTTTCAATAATCTCTCACTGGTGTTGGTTAGCGACGAAATCTAATGAATTAAGCAGGAGGTGCCATCAGCAGCAAGCGGATAATAATTGACACTGAAGTGAAAACCAGGAGTCCTACAACAGGATTGGAACTACCAGTTCCCGGTGTCTCCTTACCCCCACATAGCTATACCATTTAAACTATGAGCACCAGCTGCCTCCCCCCGTAGGGTCTTGATTTCACTTCAATCATTAAGGATTATTTAAACCACAGGATAATAACAGGTTCAATGTATATGACAATATACAGTAATACTTACTTCTATATTATTTGGTAAAATCCATTCACCTAATTGGAAAATTGGCATATCTTTTTCAGTCCAACGATCATATATGTAGATTTCTAAATAGTTTGGTGCTAATATCATAAGACCTTTAGATTCAAACATTTCTCCATCTTCTGAGGTAAGTAATTGACTTGAATTTGTTGGTGTTGTCCTAGGAAGAGAAGGTTTACCAACACATAGACGAACTATAGTTTCAGCGCCTTCCGCATCAGCTGAAAGACAGGCTAGGAAATGACGAGCTACTAATTCATATAAACGTGCTTCATCACCCTGACAAAGGAGAAGAAACAAATACCTTCTGATAGATAAGTAGACAGTAAATATTTTAAAAAGTGTGGAAAAAAGATATTGCCATTTTAACTAACTGTAAATTAAAATCTCATCTATGTTAGAGTACTGTGGTGTGTGCGCTACCGATAACATCTATCAGTAGTATATGAAGCTGGATTCAGGAAAGGCATTTCATATGCTGATCAAATTGGTACTATACGCATCATTGTCACAGACAAATCGTAGAATAACAGTAAAACCTCTATCAACGTCAACAACATCAACGACTTCGAAAAGGTCTTCGACAGATAGTGTTGACCGAGGAGTAATTTGGAAACTAATTCAACACTACGGTGTACCTCAAGTCCTTATCAACCTCATTCAACAGCTATTTGACAATGTCACGTGTCAGGTAATCCACAACGGATAACCTAGTGAGGGGTTCGAAGTGCATAGAGGAAGGAGTAAGATAAGGCTGTCTATTATCACCAACGATATTCTTAATTGTAGTGGACTGGATAATGCGTTAGACTATGGGGAGCGAGGAGACAGGAATACGCTGAACGACCGACAAGAAGACTCTGGAAGATCTAGATTTCGCGTATGGATGATTTATGTATAATGTCACACAAACTCGAAGACTTGCGGACAGGCATGCGAAAACCAACAAACTGGTTGAAGAGGCAAGACAGTGCAGTAAATACAGAACTGACTGCAGGTGAACATAGAGAAGACGGAGGCGATGAAGGCAACCAACGAACCGCAATAACAACTAGCACCAATCATCATCAACGGGAGAGAGAGATATTTAACAGAGGTTACCTTCTTCACTTATCCAGATAGGAAGCATCGTTTCAACTATAGGCGGAACGGAACGGATGAAGATGTCAAAGTCAGCCAGTCAGAATCGGAAAGGCAAGAAACATATTCATCAACCTGAAACCAGTTTGGAAATATTCTACACTCAGCCAGCATAAGGAACAAAATTCTGATTTTCAACAACAATGTCAAGTCGGTTCTTCTATACGAGTCTGAAATTTGCACTGCGCGTGAGTCACGAAAAGAATTTCCAATAGGCTAGTGCAAACTTTCATCAACAGCTGCCGCCTTCTCTGGCTCCATAGTCAAGATTCAATGATCAGAGAGAATTAGTAACAAGAAATTGTAAGAACAAACCAACCGAGTAAGAGCCGATTACTCAACAAATATGAAGAAGAAAATGGAGATGAATCGGGCATACACGCCACTGACGAGGCCGTCGAATGACATCGGAATCCAAGGGAACAATAATAATATAATAATAATATAAAGAGACGTTCATTGGCAAAAAAGCATCAAATAGCAGGGAGATGGATTTGATATACACCGTTGAGGAGATATACGAGAGACGTGAAAAGAAAGACAAAGAAACACAATAGTGAAAGAAGTGCAGAAGTGCAGAAGGCACAACACGGAAAATCTGTGCAAATAATGTGTTGAAGATAAGGTGTACTCAATTCCGCTATATAAGGATACTGAATTCGAAATTAGCATTCCTATACCGAGTCTCTCGTCTTCTACCGTCAGAGTACAAACACCATGATAAAGAAATGTATGTAATATGATATTTTATTTCTTCCAGATCAGTTACAAACAAAACTATTAAATACAAATTAGAAATGATCAGTGTTAAGTGGTGAAAATGAAAGAAAATCAGCATTTATTCTTATGCAAAGGAAATGACGCGTCACGAAAACCATTTCCAACAGACTACTGTAGACAATTGGTGGATGGTGACTAGCAGTGGAATCCAGGATGCACCTTTCTCCCTATATTTGGGATTTCATCAGTGAATGCAGGTACATCCAGATGACAAGTCAGTCCCAAGTAGAATGAAATGTGCTTTATTCTGGATTCCACTGCTAGTCACCAATCACCCAATTGACTTCAAGTTACATGACCAGACATCGTCGAAGCATCTGCACAAAGAGATGATATGTCAACCTGAGACCGACCACTTCGGTCCAATCACCAATCGACGGGAAAAATCTAAACTGAATCAAAGACTACTGCAGAAGCTATAAACTGCTGACTAATTGATTGAGATAAACACAGTTGTACACCACTCAGATCAACCGAGTAGTACTTTCAGGCCAGTCAGATCGACGACCGTTTTTATATCGCCTGGGATCGAGATCATCAGAGATGTACCCGGGTTGACTTACCCCTGAAAGAGCCGAATCAGCTCAAACCACCCGATTTTTTGGCTAACTACTTGGTAACACCATGAATCAGAACCACAATTCGCATACTAATGCTTCGCAATGTACGCAGTTAGTGGAAGTTAAATCTCACCGAAGTTTCCCTTGAAAATCAAAATTACCCAGACGATCACAATATGTGATCCATTAAGCCAAATGAAACCAAGGGGTTATACAAATCAACGAAATCGTATTTTAATCACTCACTTGAAGTTGACCGCCTGTCTTTAGTGGATGGATAGGTGGATGAGCCTTATCAGTTGACTTTCCATTTCTAGGATTAGGACCACGTTCAAGAATCCTTGATGCAAAGCCTTAAGCAAAAGCAGAAAAAGCGTCAGTTTGCAGCATAGCGAGGACTATTTTATGTTAAGTTTTTGATTAATTCACAAAGGTTGGTGTGTATAAGAAATACACTGATAGTCGTTTACGTTTATTGCAATTTGATAAGCTTTCAAATGTAGACGTGATATCCGGCTGGCTGGCTGGCTGTCGACCAAATGGCGTGCTTGCTACTCAGCAGTCACCTCACTCTGTCCTCCTTTATGCCTGTGACTGAGACATGGGCCCCATGAAGAGCCTGGTTACCTAGCTGTATTTCATCATAGGTGGCTGCATTCTATCTCCCGTGTTAAGTATTATAATAGGTGAGTAATACTGAGGTGAGGCGTCGGTTGAGCGCTAGGTAGGTGGGAGGGGAAATCAATCAACGACCGATCATAGGATAAACAATCTCTTCACTTTTTCTATACAGTACAAGAGCTAACCAAGAGCGACCAGCATGGAAGTCTGTAGGATGGCTTTCGTAGCATATATTCAATCCACTGAAACCGGTGTTTCTAGATGACTGTAATCAACGAATAGAGATCCCTACCGTGCTCAAACACGCTACCGGACTTAAGAATTATACACACTTGATGGTGACATCATCGGATGCAAACAATTCCATGGGGAAATCGATAATCGAATACACAGAGTCGCTGCAGATTCTCGGCCAGGAGAGATCAGCTTTCACAGGTGTAGAGCAAGACTGAGCTCACCAAAGCATTGTAAAACCTGACTTATGACAGGCAGGTGGCTAACGTCACAACGCAGCCAGAGGTGACAAGACCTCGCTACGCCGGCAGTGAGTCCGGCATGCGGTTAGCAATCCCACTCGCTCCAGTAGCGAAACTTTACAGCTTCACTTGGAACACAAAAAAAATAACAAAAATGTAATAAATATTAACTTGAATAAAATAAAAATATTCTTACCAGACCAACGAGAATCTTCTGTTTGAATGCGTACAAGACTTTTAAGATCCATATCGGGTGGAAATATATTAGTTTCAGTACGTGGATATGAAATAAAACCTTTAGTGTAAAGACGTTCAGCCAGTTGCATCGCATATTTCGCTCCCATTCTCAATTTACGAGATGCTAATTTTTCCAATTCCTTTATTATTGTTATTATAATGGGGAAAACAGGAAACAACAAATATATTAGAATACGAAATAGATGATTCAACTAGATTAGATTGAGAGAAAAAATAGGATTAGTAACAAGTAACAAGAAATAAGTATCCTTCCTTCCTTCCTTCCTCCATTGATTAAATATCATTGAGTAATTTGTCTTAAGTCAATTTTCATTTTCCCGTTGACTGATTGGATTGAAATGTTCAGAGTCTCTGTTGATATGTGTCACCTCCAAGTACAATCGCTCCGAAAATGTCTAAGGCTTAATGTGAAGTTAATTTGCTGGATGGTGACTACTACTAGTTGGATCCAAGATGAGCATTTCATCCCATGTGGGAATTCATCATTTGCATGTAAGTGAACTCTCTCCATTGAGCGATAGTGTTTATACTGAGACTTGAACCCAGTGGCCCTTCGTGTCTTTTCAGTTCAGTCTTGATTTTCCCGTTGGTTGACTAACTATTCTTTTCTACTCATGATAATTTTTTCGGATGTTACAAGATTTCATCGGTTAGAGGATCAGCAGGGAGTACTGGACAGCCAGTCGTTTCGTCAGCCTAGTTTGGGACTAACTCATAAGCAGTACGCACCCACTCCACAGCCAGGGTTCAAACCCAGGACCTTCAGGTTACAAGGCGAGCTAGCTCGTAAACCATTAAGCCACTGGGACCCCACTGAATGCTCAGCCCATGAATTCCAACTTATACAAATTCACAATATAGCACCATCACTAGCCAATGTCATCGCTGGTGAGTATTTGTCCCCGTGCCCGACCTGCTTTACCCTACTGGTCGAGAATTCCCACTAGAACCCCAGGTAACTACTACCTAACTGAATAGAGCCAGTTGCGAGTGGGCATCTCATCATTGATACTCAAGTAATGATTTGTAGGGATGTGATTGATTGTTTGGTTACAGGATTTCACCATAAACTGACATCTCTCTTCTCTACTTTAGTGAGTTATTGTTGGAATGTGGCAACTTGAACTAGTGGACTTCTGTGCAAATCTGTGTTTTGAAACTCAATCGCAAAAAAAATAGAAAAAGAAAAACGTTTACATCTGTAAGTTGTATAGTTTTAACTAGTCGATGAAAGTGCAAAGCACCACCACCAGTATCGCAAAAGAACATAGAATATCAAGTTTGGAAATAAAACTTACCACAGTGTCTAGTGGAGTTGGACGCCACTTAGATTTAGGACGTTTATTGATTTCTACAATTTGACCATAACGATTCTGAAAATATTTTTTTAGAAAATGAGAAGTAAAAAATTATGGGAGATAAAAAAAAATTCCTCAATACTACTACTACTACTACTTTTTTTATTAATTTTGTTGCTTCATGTTCCGAATGGAACAAAGGGGAGTCAAGTTTTCAACTTTGAAGGTTCTGTATAAGTGGTGTTTATTGTTTACGAGGGTGAGAATGTTAGCCTTATGACCGCCCAACCTCCCCCTCTTTACCTGGTTTCTTACCGGCTAAATGACGTTTACGAGTGCGACGTCTACCGGGGATCGAACCCCGGACCAGGTAAGTGGTTGGCGGGTATTCATTCTACCATTGATCCACTAACGTACTTGTACTAATATCTCATTAACTAAAAGCAGTCACACTCTGCTGAATGCTTTTTATTTTATGAAATAATTGTATATGAACAGTGTGGAGATGTGACTCACTGGTCTAGGGTGCTCTACTTCCATCTTGTAGGCCACGGTGTTCGAACCCTACTCCACCCAGTTACGGAGGTTTGGATAGCCAAGCAGTGCCACTAGTCTTCACACGCAATACCTCTGGCCTATTGCTAACTGCAAGCAATTGTAAGTGGTTGTTGACTAGCATGCGAACAGTGAAATGTAATACCACCTAGCACAAGTTTATGCCTAAGCGCTTATAATGCTATCCAGATATAGGTCAGTGGAAAGTGTTCTAGATTCGAGATAGAATGATTGACAGGCGTATTGAAATAGGAAACATCTCTCACCACCCCCGTTTCTCCTAAAATTGGAATGTCCTCCTCCCAAAAAGCCATTCGTCATTACAAGCCAGGTATAAATCCAAGTCAACATTAATATTAGAAAATCGAAACACGGAAAGTTCACTTCAACAAATGTATGTCTCTGTAAATTGAACTAAAAATGTTTATTATGCAGTCGTTGTGTAGATTAACGAATAACCATCTATTGTGACTATGATATAAGTTAAATGAGATACAAAATCTAATTATTTTAGCTATTCATCTGTTCACCCTCATAAGCGACCTCACCTGGCACAGACGAGACGAGGGTGGATAGACTTCATTCTTCCTCTCCAAATGCTGTCATGAGGCCAGCCACGCATTCATAATCTCTGCAAAGTAAATCCTAGTGACTCCTTGCATGCACGCAGTGGGTATGCTGGTCTACACCTAGGGGGAGCTGGAAAACCCTGATTCCAAACCAACGAATGCACATAGGCTCCAGAATCCAAAAGGATCGAATGCCGCATGAACGTGGCTTCTGACGCTACTTCACTGACTTGTGGATCAGATAACAAGTCAAAGGATCGAGAGTAGCCTCATAAAACAACCACCTGCTTCAGTCTGTGCTTCCGGGCAGTATCTCAGACGTCGCACAAACGCTTGCGGCGTGTGTCTCTTGGTGTCCATAATGCACCAAGTTTGTGTTTTACTAATAATCATGTGAAGCTTTTTCAAGCAGACAGGTAAACTGAAACTTTGGTTGGACACTAGTAACTGAGATTCAAACCCGCGTCACCCAGTGCCGCCTGCAGTCAGAGACGTTACCACAGAGCTATTCGGGCTCGCGATTGACCTCCTGTAGCATTGTATTGGAAACTTTGATTGGACACTGGTAACTAGCGCGATGTGTCTAGTCCTTTCTTCAGTGCAAACTGAATTTTATCAGTCAGGTTCCAATCTCAGAAGGGATGTGAGTTCCTTTGAGGTTGCACATACGCCTTGCTGACGAGTGCCAACTAGCACGAAACCTAGGTCCAAAGCTTCCTGCCGATGGCCTCCAACCATCTAATATCATCAAAACTGAAACTTTCAAACACTTTGAAGTTATCAAGAAAAAGTAGTGAGTTTCGAGAGAATAGCTTATTTCGCAGATATACATACTTAACCGCAGCATTTTATACAACTCCCTTATTTAAAAAAGAAAGAAAGAAAGAAACGATGACACTAGCTTATTTTACGACTCACTATTACTTATGCACAAACTAATTAATATTAAAATATTTCTAATGAGATTTTAAAATTCCAAAACAAAGGTTGGATTCAGTTCCCACTGAACCTCCTTTATTAATAATAAAGGTGAATTATAACCTAACCACCCTTCTAGTAAAAAATGTATTATTTACTGTGTACTTGGCTGTCTGGTAACTGACTTTATACTGAAACGCTGGCTACCCAGCTGTCAAGTAAGTGGGCAAACGATGACCTCCATTAGATTTCTTCCACTGATAGTGATTGATGGGTGTTTTATCAGACTGTTGATTAGGTGTCTTCTCTATGTTCACTTGAAGTCCTGCGTCTTCACTGCCTGGCTGTCTCTTCTGCCAACTTGTTAGTTTTCACACGAGAGAAGTAGGCAGGCTTTAGACTAGGTCAGCTAGGTCAGAATCTACAGAGAGTTGTCATCTGAAGTGGTGACAACCAATGGTGCCCGTCGGGGATGACCGCTGTCTCTATTTCTATTTAATTTCATCATAGATGTGCTAATGGAATTAAGACTAACTGACCTCAGCGATTAACTTGTTACCATACAATAATCTCACTGACTTAAAAATATGCAGATGATATAGATGATATGTAGGTGGAGACGCTGACTAAATGCAATCTTCTAAACACCTTGAGCAGTGAGTAATCTTCGGATGTTTGGAGTGCTATTCTCTCCCCTTGTTAAGTGTAAGATAATGCTACAACACTAAACTACATCGACCCACTCCTAGCTTAAAGATAGGAAGGAGCGAAGTGGTTGGTGGAGCGTGTTGGGCACTTCACTTATTTGGGAAGTTGCATCAGCCAACGCCAGCGGGTTGACGAAATCTCACCACGGTCACAGAAGGTTCATTAGCCATATGCCTGACAATCTTTGCCACCTCTGGTTTAGGAGATGTGATGTCCGGCTCGCTGGATGGCTGTCAACCAAAGAGCGTGTGTGCTACTCAGTAGTCACCTCACTCTGTTCTCCTTCATGCCTGTGAGACAGACATGGTCAGCCACATTGGAAGTGGAAAACATTTAAAGCCTGCCTATGTGTCTCTCATCATAGGTGGCTGCCTTCTACCACCCGTGAGTGTTAGGTGGTGTGGTATAATAAAGTGAGCACTGTTGAGGCTAGGCATCGGTCGAGTGCCTGGTGAGTGTGAGGGGAAATCAATCGATGACGAGGTTGCGAAGTTACGTCGACTGAGAGAGATGGTTAGGAAAGCTGTTGCTGCTCATGCCTCGACAACGGGCATTGTTAGCTGACTGACAGGATGCATCAGGTTAGAGAAGAGTTAACTGGTGGTAGTCAAACTAAAACATGACATTACAAGCCAATGAAATAAACTCACAACAGTTATTTTAAGCCAACTGGCTAGCCAGCCACGTACGGAGGTGTAGACTTCCTGACTGACTGGTTGGGTCCTCGAGATGGTAAGAACCAATGATGGCGACTGGAGACAATTGGTGGTATGACTGGTTCAAAATCGCTGTTCCCAATGCCTATCGACGGTATGCATTCAATATTTGTGGCATATAGTATTCAATAAAACTACATTGTTCCTCCATATTGCTATTCTTTTTGCCTCACTCACACTTCTGTTTATTGTTGCTGTTCCCTGTCTTCTCTTGCTTTGTGTACTACATGGCAGCTCGAACTGCTGCACATCTGTGCAAAGTTCTACGTTGAAACCAGTCAATCAGTGTAGTTATTAATATGTATTTATATTTTACTCAGTAAATAAATTGCTAATCTAATAAGTAGTGACTGCTCGCTGGTCACTGAGACAAAATAAACATGTATTAAACTGTCAGGTGTGTTAGAGCAAACGTTGACACTTGTAAGGAGAAAAATAGTAGTAAAATATCTTTTCACATAGAAATCAGTTCAGTTAAAAAGGATACTAATATATATGTATATATAAATAAATTAACGTACTTGACATAAATGTTCATAATATGCTCTGCAACAATCTTGATCAAATAGTCGCCCACTAAAAATAATATATATATGAGATAAAGATATCAATTTTTAAGTATTGGTTTTTGTAGGGATTTGGATTGATTGATTAGAGGATTACAGCCTGAGATAACATTGCTGTGATGCTCACTGGGGACTAGCCCTATTCAGGTAGGGTTCTAGTGGGAAGCCGTGACCAGTAGGGTACAGCACGTTGAAGGTGAGGCAGTAACTCATCGAAGTGGTCGCGCTGTCATGAATTGGCAGAAGTTAGAATTCATGGGCTGACCATTAGATTGGGCCCCAATGACTTAATGGTCTATGAGCTAGCTCACCTTGTAATCGGAAGGTCCTGAGTTCGCATCTCAGTGGGGTGGGTGTGCACTGATGAAGAGCTAGTCCCAAACTAGGCTGACGAAACAGCTGACTGTCCAGTACTTCCAAGTTTTCCAATGATGTCAGCTCATGCTGAAATCCTCCAACCAAAAAAATATCAGTTGCAAATGTGTAACAAAAACAGACACTACTTAGAAATGAGCAAATGACAGCAAAACAAGGACCAACTTACCGTTGCCAATTAAATTCTGTTGACTTTTCATTTCGTGACACAGTAACTGAAATTATAAATTTATAAACACAACAGAAATTATAATTAATTGAAATGTTAGACGTTTTAAGATTTTAAAGCTCCATATCACGAAGGATTTAACTTTTTCTGTGCTTTATAGTTTCTGTAACCATTACGTTGATTTTCCAGAGTGACGTCCCTGCCCTAACCCTCCCTCTGTATTCCAGGCTCAGGATCGGCTAGTGGAGACTAGGACATCATGTGAGGAGGGAGCGAAAGTTTATCGGGCAATCATAGGATCAGGTAGAAAAAGACTACAAGGAACCGAGTGGAATGGAGATGTGCTGCTGAGACTCTTTGTTCACTGTCTGTACCCACTTTACCATAATGTATTCGTTTAAACAGCAATAGTAGACATTGAATAAGTATTCTGCTTAAAAGTCAGAAGTTAATCCTGTCCGGATTTCATATTTACTAAAATTAGAACCCAGGTGGTGGTTACTCCTTATATGATTGGTGCAACTATGCATAAATAGGAATGATTCCACTAAGATCTCTAGCCAGTGCAAGTGTTCAAAAACAACATACCAGATACTTTCCAGCTAAGTGGCAGCAGATACATCCTTATTAACAAGGTTATTTATTTCAGGACTTCATCATGAACTGATATCATCATTGGAAAACCTGCAGGGACTACTCAACAGCCAGCTGTTTCGTTAGCCTAGTTTGGGACTAACTCATCAGCAGTACGCGCCCACGCCACAGCCAGGATTCGAACCCAAGACCTCGTTACACGGCAAGCTAGCATGTAGACTATTAAGCCACTGGGACCCGCCAATCTAATAACTAGTCTATGAATTCTAACTTCTGCTAATTCATGATACTTATTAATTAGTAGAAATCAACGATTCAGCTGATGCATGTTAGTTCAAAAACAACTTATAATCCAAACACTTCGCTGTGCATCGTTACTAATGAGTCATAAGGATGAAAAACTATGGTTAGAACTTGTGTGTGAAATGAGAAAAACTAGTATTTGAAAGGACAACATCAGTGGGACTACTGTCTGTCTGTCTGTCTGTTTTCGACATAGAACTTTGCACAAATGTGCGGAAGTTCAAGTCGCCACATTCCGTGTAGCACGCGAAGCAAGAGAAGAAAGTACAAGAAAAGCATAATAGAAACAGTGAGCAGAGGTGTGAGACAAAGGAGTAATAAAGAAATACAAAACAGTTTCATTGAAGATCATAAGTCACAGGGAGTGGATGCATCTGCGCCACTGAGAACGATTTTGAGCCATGTCACCGATTGTTTCCAACCATAGATTTTTACCGTCCGAGGACCCCAGCCTGGAAGTCTACACCTTCCTACGTGGCTAAGACCAACTGTTGTGGATTTCATTGACTGATGCCAAGTTTTTGAAATCCCAACAGTTGGTCTTAGCCACGTAGGAACTACACTATCTCCTGTGGCATATGTTTACCCAGCATATATATATATATATATATATTACTCCTCAATTAGGAGTATGTTGGAAAAGAGTTAGAAGTGGTCAAACCAAAACCTGTAGTTAATCCAGGAAGTATTCGACAGGTAGTTTGAACCATCCACGTAGGATTGTGTAGACCACCTTGTTGTAGTGTTCGTGGTTCTGAAAACCAATGGTTTGAGATTATTGATGATATGACTAAAAATCGTGCTCAATGGCGCAGATGCATTTTTTCTTTGTCAGAGCCTATATCCATTAGGTCAAGTTGTTCAGTGTAACTACTCTTCCCCCATACATAATTCTTTTGAATATGTTTTCTTTCTTTGTGCTAACCTTTGTGTGCTATATGGCATGGCAACTTGAAATAGTGCACATCTGTGCAGAGTCCTACGTTGAAATTCAGTCAGTCAGCTAGTTAGTTAGTTAGTCAAATAACTTCAAACAATAGTGTGACTTCAATGAAATTGTTAGCCTTAAATTTTGTCAGACAAAATATGAGTGAAGCATTGAAGAAAACAACTTACCTACTATACGCCAAAATGGTTCAGGAACAAACCGATCAACCTCTCGAAAACGTTCTACAACAAAGCCAAGAGTTGGAAATTGGCAAGAACCATAAGAGATTAATTGATCACTTAAAGCTCTAGGGAAAACTCGTCTTAATCGTAAAGTTTGAAATCGTGTGAATGCAGCACCAATACGTAAGTCTAACTCTTGCCGTACATCTACTGCTGCACTGGCATTATAATCAGGAGTTGTAAGCTGATTAATAGCACGGTGTATAGCTCTAAAAGAGATAAGGGTTACACAAGTAAAAAATAAGATTAATCAAATACATAAACCAATACATATAGCGACTGGTGATTAATTAAAGTATACGAGAAATCCGAATCGAACACTTAAGCACCTTTAAAACTAAACTACCTCAAATAAAGAGAAGGAATGTTTAATAAAACCCGAAAATAATACCAAACATTACGTAAAAAATAAACACCACTGCTACAGAAATTTCAAGCCTCTGGCTTGAAGCCGTATATTCCGCTGGGAACGTGAAGGAATTAATAAAAATAATAATAATATTGTGAGTACAGCAAAACGTTATTCATTAATAACCATTATCGATTTGAATTAACGTAATACAGTGAAAAACTGCTCACACATAGTTACTAATGTCAATGATGCCATACAAATCAGAAGAACAAGTTATGAATTACACTATTGTAATTTACAACTTCAAAATAATAACTAACTGAACCGCTTTAAATTAACAAAAGCTTATGAATGATAGCTGAAAAGTGAAAACAACAGTCAAGAACACAGACATTCACTCAACTAATGAGACAAATTCAATGTACATGGACTGATTGACCGCCTGGTTTCAACACAGGACGTTGCACAGATGTGCAGCAGTTCGAGTTGCCAATCTTCCTCCATGTAGCACACAAAACAAGAGAAGAGAGGGAACAGCAACAATAAACAGAAGTGTGGGTGAGGCAAAAAGAATAGTAATATAGAGGAACAATTTAGTTTTACTGCATATGACAAATCACAAAAAGTTAATGCATCTGTGACATCATTAACAACGATTTTGAACCAGTCATATCACCAATTGTCTCCAGCCGCCATCATTGGTTCTTACCATCTCGAGGACCCAACCAGTCAGTCAGGAAGTCTACACCTCCGTACGTGGCTGGCTAGCCAGTTGGCTTAAAATAACTGTTGTGAGTTTATTTCATTGGCTTGTAATGTCATGTTTTGGTTTGACTACCACCAGTTAACTCTTCTCTAACCTGATGCATCCTGTCAGTCAGCTAACAATGCCCGTTGTCGAGGAAGATGATCGATGGCTAGGCCACACAAGCGTAACACATGTCCTAATATCAGTCGATCCACCTGCTTCACAAACTCGTCGACGATCGATTCCTCCTCCCACCTACCTATCATTCGACCGATGCCTAGCCTCAACAGTGCTCACTTTATTATACCACACCACTTGACACACGGGAGGTAGAAGGGGAACACCTATGGTGAAAGACAACTAGGTAGCCAGGCTTCCAGTGAGGCTGGCCATGTCTGGCTTACAGGCATGAAGGAGGACAGAGTGAAGTGACTGGTGAGCAGTACACACGCCCTTTGGTGGACAACCATACAGCGAGCCGGATATCACGTCTCCTAAGCCAGAGATGGCAAAGGTCGACAGGCATATGGCTAACGAGCCTTCTGTAACTGTGGTGAGATTTCGTCAGCGATCAACCCGCTGGCGTTGGCTGATGCAACTTCCCAAATAATGTATATGTTCTAAGTCATGATCGGTGGAATGAAAATGAGTCTTCTGATTCATTGAACCAAAATGAAAACTATTTCGATATTTGTATACCTCACCAGCCATTATTTCCAAGATATGCAAAAAATAAAACTAACAGAAAGGCATAAAGTTAAGAAGCTCTTAACGAGTTTCTTCAGTAAAAGTCTAAACTAGTCACTTACGAAGGCGTAATTTCAGAAAATCGAGCACGAAGGACTTCGATGTTTGGTGAAACTAAAATAAGGGTTAAGTTGTAACTTATGTGAAAAAGAAACATACCTTCTCTACATGCATCAATTACTTCGACACCAATATTCTCACCCTCACGATCACAATCAGTCCATATGATTAGCTTTTGGCAGCCTCTTATTTCACGCTGCAATGTTTGCTAAAATAGTTAAGAAGATAGACGTAGTAACTCTGAATACAATCCACTTTGAGAAATCTTATCTGTAGCGTTGATATCTATATGAAAACAGCATATTAGTTTTCAGACACTGTAAAAATCAAATCGTTTACCACACCAAATACACGTAGACCATAGCATTTACCAACATGTTAGTGACTCACTAGGTTTGTAAAAGTCTCAAGATTTAGCCCTGTTGTCACATAAAAACACTGTATACAGAATGCCTACAGCATATAAGAAAAAAGTCACCTGATAACACCCGGCAGCAAATCCCACATTTAGATAGTTCAAACTATTCATAATCTTTGAAAGAGATGAAAACGTTGAATACCACTTAGACACTCAACAAATATCAAGCCCAACGGAAATTTGTTAAAAAGACGTAAAAAGGCATTGTACTGCTTTGCAAAGTTACTTTTAAGTTTTACGTCAAGGAAATATCGATATATCCACAAAAAGACTCGCCCATATAAGCAGAAAGGTAACACAAAAGTTTAAGAAGTTCTAAATCCATGCTCTTTCCATGACACATAAAGTTTAGTATAATGGCACACACCAACGCAGATGAAACAGTTCATTAACTGAAAATTCGCTTACCTTTATTGGCTCATAATCTTTCAGTACATGCTTAGCAATCGGTGCATCAAAAAGGACCATTGGGTCGCAAGAATGCCTGAAGGTTATCAAAAGGCGTGAAAGTTATTTACCATGACTTGTAATTTGTGAGGAAATCATAGTTTGTTAAATGACCTGACACAGAAGTCATTAACATAATCGCATTTTGGCCATTTAAGTTCATATGAAACTCATAAATTTTGTTGAATTTAGACAATCCTTCTCTCTAAAAATGAAAATAAGAAAGACGCAGATAAAAAGTTACTCTGCGTGACCCTCCACGACTCAAAATCTCAGCGATATTTTTAGCAGCATCATTTTTCTCAGCAACATTCAGGATTTTCATTGTTAGTTTTCTGATGGCAGACTTTGTTAGATGACTACAGAAGATGGAGGGTACACTCAAACATCTTAAAAACATCAGCAAGGCTCGTTTTTGAAACAGCGCCTATGTCAAGGTCGAAAATCGGTGTCAACTGATATCCAATATCCTGATTACGAGCTAGTATAAACCAGTGATTTCTTTGAGCTCGCTTCTTGATTGTGAGGTAGAGGTTCCAGATCTTCGGTGAGCTTCTGCGTAGTAAGTCCCGACACTCGACTGCTTTAGCTCTGGTAGACTCCAAAAGAGTGGTGCGGAGATTGGTCAATATGTGGTTTGTAGTATACAGTATGTTAGGACTGTATTGCTGCCGTGAATGGAGTTTGACCTAACTCCCGTTGGTCATTCGGTGTAGTCATAAAAGTAGAACAGTAATAATAATAATTGGTTGTAGTATAGATAATATGGGTTGAGATAAGTGGAATAATAAAGGTGTAGCGGTAAATAATTCCCCAAAATTATTGACCACAGCAATCACTCATTGGATGCTGACCACCACTGTTTAAGTCGACTTGTTTAGCTGAAGGCTTCCGGTCAAGCATCCCCGCCATTTGGTACCCCGTCGTGTAACGTGCACGATCACTAGCTAGCTAAGCGTTCGTCTAACGGCTGGTTTTGGTTCCTAAATACATTTCTTCGTTTGGACGACCAATTATTGGCTTTTGCTTTGTCTTTGGTACGCGAGAATAAATTAATTAGAAGTTGTTGAACGAGATATCACGTCAAACCTTTAATATCCACCAACCTTAAACTGGTGAGCCTAACCGCGAACTTCATCTACGACAATTACTCAGATAATCCCGGTGAGTTCGTTCCATTTTGTATTTGTTCTTGTACCATATATTATTCGACATAATTTTCGTCATGAGTGATCTTCCCAAGGCATCCCTTTCCCCCCCACCCCCTAAAACAATCAACCCCGTCCAAACCTGCCCGAAAAATCTGGAAAGAGGGTTTTTCTTGCCGAAAGAAAATTTTTTTGGGAAGGGGTAAAAGATCAACATTCCCAATTATTTTCAGTTTTTTTCCCCCCCCCCCGGGGATTCAGCAAAAACGTAAAAACACAAAAGTTGTGGCCCCAGGGAAGAAAAACCTCCGAGGTGTTGAAAAAATCCCCCCCCCGGAGAAAAGTTTTCCCCGGAAAAAAAAACCTAGAAGAAATTTTTTCCAAAATCGAGTTTGGGGAAAAGACACCCCCGGGGATACTGAAAAAAAAAAAAAAAAGTCGTCGGCCAAAGTCAGTTCGACGAAGGACTGTTTAGAGAACTCTTCTTAACCAAGTTGCCACATTCTTAAAAACCGGACTTTGTAACATTGAGGGGAACTGAAATAGAAACTTAGCTATTACTGCAGATAAGATCTAGAAATAACTAAACGGTCTGTCCCCGAAATATGCTCAATGACTAAGCAGACTTCGAGTGAGGATCCTGCAATGACAGAGTTATGCAACTCCATCCAGCAGATGTTTAGGTCAAACATGCATTCTAAATCCTCCAACCGTCGTCCTAAATCTCCTCAACGCAGGAACTCACGTGGTCGATCTAAGTCCAAACCACGTTCACTGAAAAACCCTGACTGGTGCTGGTACCACAACACCTATGGCCAAGAAGCGAAGTGTTGCCGTAAGCCTTGTAACTTCGGAAATGTCTCAAAGTCTGCGGGAAACTATCCCGCCGGCACGCGTTAGCGGCAACCGTCGCCGGTGGCACTAGCCGCCTACTTTACATCCATGATGTGATAAGCCAGACTCGATACTTAGTCGACACAGGCGCCGAAGTCAGCGTCCTTCCTGCTACAGCAGCAGATCGACAGAAGGAACCTACCTTCAACTTACAGGCTGCAAATGGAAAACCAATCGCAACCTTTGGTAGGAAATACGTCTATCTGAACGTAGGTTTACGCAAACCTATTCGGTGGATTTTCCTTCTCGCTGACGTTACAATGCCCATCATTGGCACGGACCTACTTAATCATCATGATTTACTCGTAGACGTCCGCCGAAAACGACTGATTGACAATACTACTAGTCTGTCTATCAAAGGCATCACCTACATAGGCCCTAGTTTGTCACCCGTTAAGATAAAGGCAATTCTTGATCCAACTTTTCAACCTATGTTGACAAGTATCCGGAACTTAATTGCCCGTCGAACGACCTACCGTGCATAACCAGCAATGTTATGCACCACATCATTACCACAGGACAACCTGTGACATCTAAAGCACGACGATTAGCTCCTGACAAACTGAGAATCGCCAGGAATGAATTTGACCATATGCTTAGCCTTGGCATCATTCGACCTTCGAATAGCCCATGGGCATCCCCACTTCATATGGTTCCGAAAAAGGATAGCAACGATTGGCGACCCACCGGTGATTACCGGCGAGTGAATGCCAAAACAACCCCTGATTGCTACCCGTTGCCTCATATACACGACTTGACGGCAACCTTATCCGGCGCGACTATATTCTCCAAAATCGACTTGGTTAAAGCGTATAACCAAATCCCGATGGCAACAGAAGACATCCCGAAAACGGCTATCATTACGCCTTTCGGACTTTTTGAATTTCTACGTATGCCATTCGGTCTCCGGAATGCAGCCCAAACATTCCAACGCTTCATTGACGAAGTATTTCGCGGTCTCGACTTTGTATACGCATACTTAGACGACTGCCTCATTGCCAGTCCAGACAAGGAAACTCACCTTAGGCACTTGGACTTGGCATTTGACAGGTTACGCCAACATGGTGTTACCATTAATATTCAAAAATGTCAAATCGGTGTTGACTCACTCGACTTTCTGGGTCACACTATTGACTGCAAGGGCATTCGCCCACTGGCTACTAAGGTCGAGGCTATACTGAACTTTCCAGAGCCACAGACGGTGAAAAGTCTCCGCACTTTTAACGGCTTAGTAAGTTATTATCGACGCTTTATTCCCAACTGTGCCTCTTTGATTCAGCCATTGACAGACCTCCTTCGAGGGAATAACAAGTCCATAGAACTTGACGCGTCTGCTCGAAATGCTTTTACCCAGATTAAAAAAGCTATTGCGAATGCCACACTTCTGATGTATCAGGATCCAACGGCACCGTTAAGTATCTCGGTTGATGCATCAAACACTGCAATCGGCGCAGTTCTACAACAGCTAGTTGACAATGAGTGGCAACCACTTGCCTTTTTCTCCCGGCGCCTTCAATTAGCTGAAACGAAGTACAGCACATTCGGCAGAGAACTTCTGGCTATGTACTGTGCTATACGACATTTTAGACATTCGGTAGAGGGTCGTGAATTTATAATTTTTACGGATCACAAACCTCTGACGTACTCTCTGAACTCACCTTCAGATAAGTATTCACCCAGGGAATCACGACAACTGGATTACGTCTCACAGTTTACATCAGATATTCGCCATGTATCCGGAGTAAACAACACTGTGGCAGATGCCTTGTCGCGCGTTTGTTCCCTCACCCAAATCGACGGCATAGACCTAGTAAAACTGGCTCGTCTTCAAAAAGAAGATGCCGAACTTCAACATGAGTTGTCGAAAACAACTCTACAATTAGCTGAGAAACCCTTAGGTATGGGAAGAGATACTATTCTATGTGACATTTCCACGAGTACTCCTCGCCCCATCGTGCCTAAAAGTTATCGCCGTAACGTCTTCAATACGTTGCATGGCTTATCTCACCCAGGTATTCGAACTACTGTCAAGCTCGTAACTAGTCGGTTTTGTTGGCCTGGCATTAATAAAGAAGTAAGGGAATGGGCACAAACGTGCTTAGCTTGTCAAAAGTGCAAGGTGATAAGACACACCAAAAGCCCACTTGGCACCTTTCTTCTCCCTGACGCTCGTTTCGAACACGTCCATATAGATTTGGTTGGTCCCCTTCCTGAATCACATGGATATACTTATATTTTAACTTGCATCGATCGCTTCACACGATGGCCGGAAGCAGTACCCATCAAGGACGTATCTGCTGAAACAGTCGCACGCGTCTTCGTAGAAAGATGGATTGCTAACTTTGGATGCCCATCTTCCATAACAACTGATCGCGGGCGGCAATTCGAAAGTGGCTTATTCTTTGCCCTGACTAAAATATTAGGTTGCATGCGATTTCGAACAACAGCCTACCATCCTCAAGCTAATGGTATGGTAGAACGTCTACACAGACAGCTGAAAGCTGGTCTGTCAGCTGCAAACACCACCCATTGGACTGAATCCCTCCCGTTAGTTCTCCTAGGGATACGAAACGCCTTGAAAACCGATGCTGGTTGTACTAGCGCCGAGCTAGTATATGGCACGACACTGCGACTGCCTGGTGAATTTGTTTCTCCCTCGAGCTTCCCACCAGTGGTAGATCACGCTTCATACGTCAGCAGGCTTACAAACGCAATGCGTTCAGTTAAACCTGCTCCCCTTCGTCCACAGTCCATTGATGTTTTCGTTCATCCGTGTTTGAAAACTTCTTCACATGTATTTGTTCGTCGCGACTCTGTGCGCAGACCCCTGGAACCCCCATATGACGGACCTTATAAGGTAATTAAACGTTCTGATAAATTCTTTGTCTTGGACAAAAACGGCCGCGAGGACACCGTCAGCATTGACCGTCTGAAACCGGCTTACTTGGAGGGTAATCCTATTAGCATAGAGCTGAACGTACCCCAAAATCCACAAGTAACAGAAGATCGTGTAGACATCGATGAAGTCGCTAGCACAGCGACAGCTACCGAACCTTCTATCGAGCCTCCCAAGAAAACCCGTTCTGGACGCACCGTAAGGTTCCCAGAATATCTGCACACTTATTTGACTTAACGAATTCGTGTGATTCACGCAACTCACTCGTTCGTGGTACTAACTATTTTTTTTGACGTATAAATTTTTTTTATATACAGTACCACCGAACACAAAAATTTTTTTTCAACAGTTCATGTAACATACACAAAAAAATTAATTAGATGTATTTTTTTTCGATGTTCTGAACTTAGCATTATTTTACTGTATAGTAAATGCACATAATTTTTTTTAACCAAAAAGGTC